TATATATATATATATATAGAGAGAGAGAGAGAGAGAGAGAGAGAGAGAGAGAGATTAGAATTTTGATGATGAGACAGATTGAAAATGTATTATTATTATTATTTTTTATTTTGAAATTTACAGAAAAATTTTGATGATTGTATTACTTTATTAGTCATAATAAATTATTTCAAAATTTATCTTGTAGTTTTTTTATTTATGATAGAAAGAATTTTTCATGTAAATTTGATATTTTTATAATTGTGTTATTGTGATTGATATATTTTATATTTTTAATTGTTGTGTTTGAGTTAATTATTTTCTTCTACAATCTAATTAATATGAAGTGCTAGGTTGATAATACGATATTACTTGACTATTTCGAATAATTTTTTATTAAAAAAATACTTTTAAGGATTTTAAATTTGATATGGTGCAAGAACGATCTAAACGAACATTGGAGGATGGATCATGTTTTCAACTTCATAAATTCCATGAGTATGAAATGCGCAGTTCAACTAGGCATACCTGATGTCATTCATAAACACGGTAGACCCATGACCCTATCTGAGCTTGTTTCTGAACTACCACTCCACCCATCAAAAACACAATTTGTCTATCGCCTTCTGCGTATTCTTTTTTTTTTTTTTTAATAACACGGGTGTCCGGGTCGGTTTACGTGTACCTCGACTAATCTCGTGAGCTCCGAAATTAATGACTATATAAGCCTCCAGCGGCCATCAAGAGAAGTAATCGGGACTCGAACCCGAGATCACAGGGAGAGCAAACATCTTGATACCAAGTCCTTGCCGCTGCGGCACCCCCTCATGGTTACCTTGTGCGTATTCTTGTCCACTCTGGTTTCTTTTCCCTCCAAAATCTTAATGATGTTCACAACCAACAAGGTTATTCTCTTACCCAATCCACTCGTCTCCTCCTCAAGGATAACCCCTTAAGTGTGAGACCTATGTTATTTTTGTTGCTTGACCCAGTTCTAACAAAACCACATGATTGCTTGAGCACTTGGTTCCAAAATGATGAAGCCACCGCATTCAGTGTTGCGCATATAAGTTGAAAATATGATTCCTAAATTATAAGTGCTAGGTTGATAATACGATATTACTTGACTATTTCTAATAATTTTTCATTAAAAAAATACTTTTAAGGATTTTAAATTTTATATGGTGCAAGAACGATTTAAACGAACATCGGAGGATGGATCGTTCCACCTGATAAATTGATTACTTCTTTAGAAGCAAATGCCCAAAACTACTAATCCCAAATCTATAAGCCCAACCTACTGCTATTCCATTTGAATAATTTACCATGCTTGCCCTTCAAACCAAAATCTAGAGTAGTATGACTAACATAGATTAACCATTTGCTTTCTTTTGTCTTCTACTTCAATCCAATACGGACACCAGTCGCTTCAAATCTTCAAGCTTACCCGTAATCAATCATTAATTGAAGTGAAAAGTTTTTGTTTTCGAAAGAACCTGTTCGTTACTCGAACTGAACATTCTTCCCGAGAGCCCTAGTGCGACTGTACTTGCCTGCCTTATCGAGGGATGAAACTCTTTCTATCAAAGAAAAATATATTAATTAAAGAGAGTTAATTTAAGTGAAAAGAGCTTTAATCGTTTAAGTAAATGATTTTAAATTCGAGTCTTTTTACATGTAAATTTTTTTAAAATAATTATTCTTGCTTGACAAAACAATAAAAAATTAATCTAAATTTTTTAATTTAAGATATCTTGAAGGGTTAAAAAAATGAAGAAGAAAGAATATATACTACTTAACAACAGAAAGGCCTTTGTAAAGTCTAGCTCCTTCTGTTCCATGGCCGCCTCTACAGAGAAGTGCTTAACATGATCTTATTCTTTCTAGGGCGCTTACTTTTTGTTTTTGGCGGACAGGACTTCATGGGCATCTTACAATCTATACGAATGAATCCTCATTCGTTGAGAGTTTTATTGTCATTGATTGAAAATGGTCATCTCTAACCGACTAATCCTCCCCTTTATTCAATCTTAATCGACAAAATAAAACTAAGATCTCTCTGAAGAAATAAAAAACAACACAATTTCGCACAAAATATAAAAATAGCTCTTCTATTGGAAGAGGTGCGTTTCTGAGAATATAATGTTTTTTTTTTTTTTTTAATGTAAACTAAATTTCTTGAACAATATGATTAGCAGATTTATAAACTTGTCGTTTCAATTTTTTTTTTTTAAAAAAGGGGAATTTCAATCGTTACAAAATTTGGTTTCAAATCTCATTTTGCTTTTATATCTTTTTTTTTTTTTTCTTTTTCTTATTTGAATTTGAACCCATAACAGATTCATAAACAAAGCCCACTGAACCCGTAATTACACCACCACTTTTTACTTTTTTTGCCCTTTGTTGGGGTTTTTTTTTATTGCCTTACTTTAATTTTCTCTCTTCTGTTTTCAACCGTAACAAATGCATTCGTTAACAGAAAAGGATTTTGGACTTCTTTTTGGGTATCGAAGGATTGATTTTGTGATTACCGTGGCAAATAGATTAAGGGCTTCTCTTTTTACATAGCCTTCTTTACCGTTATGGTTGCTGAGTTATGGACTTTAAACCATGACAGAGATCTGCTGAGTTGTGGGCTCTAGAACGTGATTAGCTTACTATCTTTTTTGGGTTGTATTTTATATGGGAAGCTTCTCCTCCAGATCTTCGAGAAATTCTTCAAGCTGATTTAGTTGGCCTTACTTTCAGCAAGAACTTATCTTCCTCTTACGTCTCTTCTATACCAAAAATCAAAAGAAAAGGAGGGCCAAAATAGCCGCAAAAAGAGTACGAATGGCTTTTTGAGTATACTATTTTACATTTTAAAACGAGAATATAAAACACTAAATATATTATGTGATTAATAACGCTAGCGATTACTCAATGCTTTTCTTTTGTCTTTTTTTTTTTTACCTCTTTTCTCCTAAATAAGCTCACATCTTATTTGATATAAATTTTATTTTTGTATTTTTTTAATATTTACGGATGGTAAGGTATTTTTAGATTATTTTTTCGTATCAATTGAGATTAGATTTATTATTTTGTGAGTTAAATCAACATCGAACATGCTTAATTTTTTTGATAGATCACCAAACTTTATTTTTAAGATCAAATTTATTTATTATTATTATTTTTGTAGGGCTTGAATAAAAGTTTCCGTGAAGGTTCGATATCCTAATCTCGTGTTTTCTCGAAAAAGATCAAAGTCGTGATGAGTAATTTTTGTTACAGACAATTTGTGAATTTTATTTCTTCTTGACGATCTAATGATGAGATAATGCATATTGTCTGTTTCAAAGGGTGCATGTTCTATATTTTAGAACACTATCAATTATTTGTTGAACTTTTAGATGATTTTTTGGATCCGTGTTAGGCTAACGAAATCATATGGGCTTGGCCCAAAGCTCACTTTATTGCAAGGAAAGGAAATTCTCACACGTATAGTTTTACATTTTATCAGTCATTACTTTAACATGTTTTTTATATTTCTTCTTTAAGAAAAAGAAAAATTGTCGGCATAGATATACATGGTGATTTTTTTTTCTTTTTTTTTTTTTAATCTCTCAATTTTCTCGCCTTATGTTCCCAAAAGAATTGATTAGACGAACAGAGTTTGTAATGCCTACCATATTCAAAAAATGAGCTATCTAATTTAGTGTATGTTTGATGTTGAAAGTACGTCGTAGCTATAGCTATAGTCGGAAAAAAATATTTGGGAAAATATACGGAATTAAAAATGTATTTATATTAGAAAATCACTACCAAATCAAAAGCTCCAAAAGCCACCACTTTGTTTTTTACAAACAAGTACTTAACAAACTCCTTTCACATATTTTAATCTATAAACACAATAGGTATAACAAATAAAGTTTCTCACAACTGAAGCTACAAAATCAAGAAAGAGAGAGTTGAACTAGATTATTTTTCATTGTATATTAAAATCTCATAGTATTATTCGAGTTAAAAATAAAAATTATGAATAAATTGAGTGTCAATTATCATGTTATTGTTACAAACTAGACCTCCACATGTCTTTTCTCTCTCGACCTAGTCCACTCTAAGTAGCTGCATGTATTCTTTTAGAATAGGTGAGACTTATATCATCTGTTGCTTTCCTTAGGATTAGATCATTCTAATTGTTGGTTACATAATATTTTCTTAGGATATATTATTTCACCTTTTTTTGCTTACTTCGATTGCATTGAAGGCTACATAAAGAAGCCTAAGTCATTGAATAAAGGTATTGAATTCTTAGCTAAACATCATTATTTTTTATTATCTTTTAGGATAACTCATGAAAGGACGAGAACACGAGGTCGAGGTATAGGCTATGGAGACATTCAAGTACGTAACATTTTGGTATCGGAGCTCGGCATGGTCAATGAGACAAATGACCGGTGTTTCTTTTGACTTGAGCACAAGCTTGAGAGTTTTAACGGATAGATGACAAAAATGCTTCGGGCATTTCCAACCCGGGAGGAATCCTCTACCAATCGGCTCGATTTAGTTTGAAGATCCACCAATTGTGAAGGGGCCAATGGGAATTTTGCTCCCAAATTAGTTAAGTTAGATTTTTCCCGTTATGATGGAACAAATGATCTCACACTCGGATTAGTCGGGTAAAGCAATTCTTAGACTTCTAAAACACTCGCTATTAAAGAACAAACAAGTCTAACAACTTACCATATAGAAAGGGGATGCCCAATTATGGGCTCAACGTCAAAAGAATTTGCACTCGGGGTTCTCATAACATGGATTGAAGGAGGGGCTTGTGAAGCGTTTTGGTTTTTCAACTTATGAGAACTCTTTTGCTAACTTATGTAAGCTTAAATAGATCGGTAATGTCCGTGAGAATCAAAATCAATTTGACGAGTTTGTTGGTCGAGCTTGAACTCTAATAGATGATTAAGAAGTCAAGGCATTTCTTAGTAGCCTAAAAGAGTAGTTTCGAGTTGATGTCCAAGCCTAGCGCCCTACTCTAAATGAGGCAATTGGGTTGGCCAATATTTTTGAAAGCAAGGTTTTCAAGGCCCAAGATCTATGGCTTAGCTCTCCAGTCATATGGCCCAATGAAGTTAGGGTTACCGAAATTAGGCGAAGAGAGAGCCCTTTATGGAATCGGCTCGAGGTTTCACCAACCCATCCCTAAATCCCGTATCTTCTACTACGGTTCGTAGTTTTACACCCATAAAGCTTCAACAAAGACAACGACATGTACTTTAATTCCATTACGATGAGACTTACATGATAGGCCATGCTTACGAAGCTTTTCTTCATTAAGTCGGAGTAAGGACTCGAGGCACCTCCTAAAATTTCCTTTGAAGATTTTTCCAACGATGAATAAGAGCCACTCGAAATTTCCATCCATGCCCTCATTGACATTTTTACCCCTTAAACAATGAGTATGTGCAAGAATCACAAGAAGCCCTATCACAATCCTAATTGATTTTGGGTTAACATATAACTTTTTACATAAAAGGGTGGTATGGGTGGTTAGCCTTCAAATTGAACATAGGACACCCTTGAAAGTGATGATTGCTAGTGGAGACAAACTTAATAGTATGGGTCTTTGTTGGTAAGTAGCCCTAGTTCTTATGGATTCCGTATTTTAGGTTGAATTTTTATTATTACCTTAGAAGGTTGTGATTTGGGCTCGGTGACTTTAAACATTAGGACCCATTTTATGGAATTTTCGAAGCATGTAGATGAAATTCACAACTAAGCCTAACGTGGTGACTTTAAGGAGACTTAAAACTCCCGATGTATAACTAATACGGATTAAGACAATGCAACATACATTAAGAAAAACACGAAATGAGGCACTTTACCGTATATATCCCTAGTGTCTCGACGAGTTGCCATTGAGCTAGAAAAATGGTTGAGTATTTAGCGAAATTCTCGGAGATTTTTTGTAGGATGAACAATTTACCCCCGAATTGAACTCGTGACCATAGAATTCCATTGCGTAAAGGTAGCCGATCAATAAATGTTTGACCATTCGGATATCCTCACTTTTAGAAAGGAGAAATTGAGAAATTGATAGCAAAGATAGTAACTCGAGTGCTCATTCACCCCATTTAGAGCCCATTTTTCTCTTCCGTATTATTGGTAAAAAAGTAAGGCTCATGGTGATTCTATATAGATTATCGATAACTTAATTAAATCACCCTCGGAGATAAATTTTCCATACCGAGTTGTTGAGGAGCTATTGGATGAACTACAAGAGGTAAAATGATTTACTAAACTGGACTTTTGATTAGGGGATCATTAGATTCGGATGCATCCCGCCGACATTATCAAAACTAGTTTTCACACCTACCATGGTCACTATAAATTCTTGGTAATGCCATTTGGCCTTTCTAATGACCCATCTACTTTTTAAGCCCTTATGAATGAAATTTTCTAGCGAGTATTTGAGAAAATATATGTTAGTCTTTTTTGACGATATTCTAATATACAACAAGACTTGGGGTAAGCATTTACATTATCCCAAGGTTCTCTTCTCCATTCTAAGGAATCATAAGCTTTACGTTAAAAAAAGCCGTCGGTTCGATCAAAAACAAGTTCACTACTTATGACACATCATCAATGAGCACAATCTCATGGCTAGTTCGAGAAAATTAAGGCCATGATTAATTGGCCTATACCACGATCGTCAAGGAGTTGAGGGGATTTTTAGGATTGATAGGTTACTATTGAAGGTTTGTAGTAGGCTATAAGGATCGGTGACTAACTTGCTAAGGAAATGCCTTTTCTTAGAGTCCTAAAGCTGAAAATGCCTTTCAAAAACTCAAGAAGGCAATGACTCAAGCATAGGGATTGGAGTCGTTTTTATGCAAAACCAAGCACTGGTGGCTTATTTTAGCATAAATCTTAAAGGTAAAAACTTATCTCTTTTTACTTATGAGAAGGAGTTGATGGCTTTGGTTCTTACAGTGCGTAAATGGAGACCATTTCTTATAGGAAGGTGTTTCACGATCCGAATGAATCAACGAAGTCTAAAATATATGTGGAAGTAATGGATTACCATAAATGCTCAATAATGATGAGTGGTTAAATTATTTGGTTATGATTTTGGAATTGAGTACAAACAAGGCCATACTAATGCAAGTAGCTAATGCTCTTTCCATAAAGTAGCAGGTTACATTCAATGCTCGGTACCCTAATGGATTAAGCCCATGCACATAGAAAATGGCGACCACTAGGAGCTTTAACGGCTACACCAACTTGAACAACAAGGAGAGGTCATGGGGCCTTAGCATGAGAAACATGAGATTCTCTTCTTTAAAAGAAAAATCTATCTTTCTAAAGACTATGCTTTAATTCTAATATCGTAACAAGAAATTCATGGCATCAGCCATGAAAGGTGTTACAAGATTCTACACCGTCTCAAGGAAACCTTCTAATAGAAGAAAAAAAAATGAAAACTACCTCTATTGATTCATAAGGGAGTGTGACATTTGTTAGTGCCACAAAGTTGAATTTCGAAACCGGTAAGGTTACTTCGACCTTTTTCGATCCTCTCTCAACTTTGGATTGACATTTTGATGGACTTTATATACGGTCTTCGACTTTCACAAGGTAAAGTTACTCTTTTTATGGTAGTTGACGATTTTCCAAGTACTCTCACTTCATCTCCATCTCCCATCCATACACTCGCTCCCACCATTGCTCAAGTGTTTTTTTGACAATACTTTCAAGCTTCATGGAATGCCACATTCCATTATATGTGATAGGGATCCCACCTTTACAAGTGCTTTCTTAATCTTTAGGGTACTAGCTTCAACTTTAGTTCGGCTTACCACCCATAGACGGATGGACAAACCTAAGTGGTAAACTAAATTGTTGATATATACCTCTATTGTTTCACTAGCTCCAAACTAAAGGAATTGGTGAAATGGATAGCCCGGGTTGAATATGCTACAACACCGGCTTACACTCCACCACTCGACTCACACCTTTTGAGATAGTTTATGGTTAGCCTCCTCCCACACTACTCTTTTATGTTTTAGGAACAGCTTAAGGTCTAGATTGTGGAAGACTCTCTTCTATAATGAGATAAGGTTCTCCAAGAACTTTGTTCTTGAGTTTTAGAGACACAAAACGAACGAAGCAAATTTATGATCGAAAATAAGAAGAGTGAGCATTTCAATAGGGAAATTGGGTTTGTGTCAAGCTTCACCATTATAAACAGATCCACCATTGCTAGATGAAGTTTTGAGAAGCTTGTTGCTCACTTTTATGGTCCTTTCAAGGTGTTGGCCGAATTGGGCAAGTAGGTTATAAATTGAAATTGCCTCATTCCGATAAGATTCATCCCGTATTCTATGTGTCGAGTTAAAGAAAAGTTGAGTGACTCTTCCAAGTCCTTTACAACTGCCAAAATTTTGTGAAGACCAAGTTGTGCCAATAAAAGAACCAACAACAATTCTAGGAGTGTACGAGCATGGCAAGAAGCAAAAACTTCAAGAGTTTCGAAATTTTCCTTCTCCTTGATGACAAGTAGTGTCTTAACAAAGGGAATTGTTATAAACTAGACCTCCACATGTCTTTTCTCTCTCGACCTAGTCCACTCTAGTTGTTATATTTGTTATCGGCATTTATTCCTTTAAAATATGCCGGACTTATGTTATTTGTTGTTGTCCTTAGGACTAGGTCATTTTAATTGTTGGTTACATAATATATGCTTAGGATATGTTATTCCACTTTTGGTGCTTAATTCAATTGTATTGAAGGCTATACAAAGAAGCATAAGTTATTGAATTCTTAGCTAACCATTATTTGTTTATGCAAATTACTACCATTTTACTTCGTCAGTCTTTCAAAATAGCTCGTGGAAGGACAAAAATGCAAGGTCAAGACATAGCTCGTAGAGACATTCAGATGCATCTAGTTATACATCAATATTTTATAACAATTAGAGATTTAAAATTAAAAATACATGGATTAAACATAGCTAAAAAGAATACATGTTAAAAATTACTAAAATTAGTGTGCATGGGTAGGCTCATTAATTTTAGTAGATTAATAAATAAATGGATCTGATGTAAAACGTGAAATAGAGGCCATTATGAATCCTATAGAAGATCGATTCATCAAATAATCCACCAAAACTTAAGGAATTTAAACGGGCCACTAATCTTATTACAATTACACGGTTAAAAAGAAAATCATTACCGCGTCTGGAAATGTAATGCCTCCACTGTAATCCTCTGATTTTACCCCAAACAAAAAAACTCAATGGAGGGTGTATTTGACATTTCATCCCATTACGTAGAAATATTAAAAATCCCGCTCTATAAAGTCCCATCATTTCACGCTGCCTCTGATTCCACAACAAACTAACAATCTGTCTATCTCAAAAAGAAGCTTTTCAAAAATATCTGCAATGGCGATTACTACACCAAGCGAGCTTGATCCTAACCTTCTTCTTCCTGCTCCTTCATCAGAACCCGAATCCGAATCCGAATCTCTGCTCTCATCTCTCGTTTACGGTTCGTCTCTCTCAACCTCACGTTCGCTTCTCTCCGTTATTTATTGAAATTTCATAGTTGATATCTTCTATTTGGAATATTATGCACTAATTACGCTTCGTTAATTTCAATGTGACTTTTTTTATTATAATCACATCTTAAATTATCATTTTCAAGCGATTTTGTTATCCATTGATTGAATTTTGTAGCAGTCAGTTATGGTTTTAGATTTAGATATCGCACGATTTTAGGACGTTGATTTTCTGGTATTTTTTTTTAATTCAGATTCGTACAAAATTTGTTAGTGTATACTAGAGTTTGTATGATTGATTTAGGTTCAGTTAAATAGTTTGAGAAAAATAATAATTAGAGAAAGCTGGTGTTAATGATAATGCTTTGCATATTGATCTTTTTTGGTTGCAATTAACTATTCAGTTTTGTCGATTTAGTTTAAAAAAAAAGAAAAAAGAAAAAAGAAAAAACAGTTATCTAATGACTCTAGGTTACGCGGAATTTTGAATATATGGAAATTTTAAACTAATATTAGTGAAATATAACCCTAACATGTTATGTTTCTTATCCAAGATATTGAAACAATGCTCTTACATGTTATGTTTCTTATCCAAGATATTGAAACAATGCTCTTGATTTTGTTAACGATGGTAATGGATATGGAGGTTTATGTTGATTTTTGCATGTTTTTATTTTTTTGTTTTACAGATACGGCTCAGAAGTTTCAGATGGAAATGGGTAACATGCTTAAGATGATAACGTGAGTTAATTATCAGGTTTAGCATAAGAAATTTCGTTATAATTGCTACTAACTGTTTTAAATTTTGAAAAGACAACTGTATTTTTTCCCCTTATTTCTCTTTTTTCTTGGACTTTTGAGTTTAAATCCTGTGCATTTGTTTTCTGGTTGATGAACTCTGTTCAGTGAAATTGATCAAGCTGCGGGTGGGATAATGGAAGAGATAGGTAAATGCAAAGATAACGTTTTTGAGAGGAAGAAAGGACTGGAAGAAGAGAAGGAAAGGTTTCAGAAAGTTGCTTATGCTCTACTAGGCATGCTCAATGGCACATAGTAAGAATGGTAAGCTTACAAGTCTTCTGTTGTTACCTTTTATGCTTTTACTAGAGGCTTGGCATTCAGATTGCAGATATTGTTTTTGAGGATGTGTCAATGGCTACTGTAACATCACATAGCTTGCTTGCATTTGTAAGTATATAAAGGCATAGATCCATCAACACTCGCAGAATATGTACTCACACAAGGGTGCATATATTTCCATTGTCATACATTACACATCTCAAACATTTCCATTGTTTTTTTTTTTTTACAAAACTAAGCTCAAAATGCGCTGAACATGTAGGTTGATGGTGGGATATAGGTTTTATGTTTTAACATTCAAAAATAAATAAGTGATCACTCTCTCTTAAAGCATCCAATTCTTCCACCTCTGAGCCATCCTCCATGAGAATTTTGTTTCCACGCTTGCCGAACTTCTTTTCTGCATCCATCAAATTTAGCAAGGTTTAAATTTACTTTGTGTGCGAACAATGAATGAATTAGGACTTCAAATGGCATGGGATATAGTATGCGAACATGCCAGGTTCTTCATGCATTTCTCTGGCCTTTTTTTGACATGGGAACCGAGAAACAGTTTAAAGTTGAGTTTTGACTCAGCATCTCAAATTTTTTTTCCAATTAGTGTTAGACAGTTGCATAAATACCTATTTAGTGTTTGATATCAGCATCTGAGAAAAGGTATGCATCGACAACACTATGGGAATTTTAAATTGTAGTGATGTATCTCCTTTTCTTGTTTTCGACCATTTTTAGGTTGCTTGTAAGAGTGAGTTGGCTCACTTTTTCATTATTGTCTAATGAATTTCAGCTTATAAAAAAAAAAAAAATTTATTACGGTACCTGCTACACTGAATAGAACTTCTATTGAGTCAGGCAAATGTATGAGCTTTCCCACTGAGTCTCCTGCTGGATTTTCATTTGGATGATGCCCATGTATTATCACTCTTTTGTGATATGTACTTGATAACGGAGTAGAGTTTTCTGGTATTTCTGAAAAGCATGGGATGAATGTTTCATATAACTGAAATGAAGCTTAAATGTTTCATTAGTTGAAGTGAAATCACCCCATCCCCAATTCCCGACAAGAAAAAAGAAAAGAAAAGAAAAGAAAAATTGTACATGAATGTAGCTTTATTTTTTTTCTGTCAGGCCACTCTATCATGTTTGATTACTTTGATTTTTTAAGTGTCCAGTTTACCTTCGACATTTGTTTCTTTTTGAGAATTTACTGCTTCAGAACTTGATAACTCCTCGTTTGTTGTTGCTTGCTGCAAGACGGTGATAATGACCGTTATAATTTATGTGGAGAATATACTGATGATCAATCAGAACTCTTTGTCAAGGACATTTTATATTGGCCAATACAGACTTGTATGTACAGTTTGGAGGAGATTCACACCCTTGCCCCCCTCACCATAGTGCTCTAGCCTCTAACTATGGGTCGATACATTCCTGTGCCGGCTATTCTGACTGGGAACAGTCTGGTGTAATGCATTTTACTAGAAATACTATAACATTCATTAAAATCCAAAATACATTTTGGATTTTGGAGTGAGTTTGATACATGTCTGGGAGCCAGTATTCATTAAAAATAATTCTGGAAGGTCTATGTATGGCCTACACAATTTCAAAGGTAGTTCTGAAATGTTGAAGACTTGACTGACACTAGAAACTTCAACTGAAATTGAAGGAAAATGCGTTGCTCTCTTCAACCATTTAAAACTTGCTTCAAATTCCAAGGCCATAAAATTTGATGCATAATTCAAAACAAGCCTTGTTTTTACTGGGAGATATGTGCATTAAGATTACTCCTTTTAGTTCAAGTATTTGTTTACATAGTATAATTGGTTGACGTTATAAATATACCTCTACAGTTGTGTCTTCCAGCAATTCCATAAGAAAGGGTATTTCCACTTGCATCTCTTGTTTTAAGCCCTTCAGGTACTGCAGTCAAATAGTAAGTATAAATAACTACCTCAGCTTCAGTGTAATTGTAGTTCTGACGAATGTGCTAGTCTGTGTACAACTGATTATTATTGGTTATGCAAGGAGACAAAATGTTTTTTAACCTGAATGAAGTTGGAGATTATTATTTTTCCATCTTGGCTATGGGGCTGCACCATTTGCTTGAGATGATGATGACTGAGCCGGATGAACTGCGACAGTCTCTTGGTCCTCAAAGTAAAAGGCTGTGGGATGTTGAACACAACCCCAATTTCCCCTGCCACATCTGAAGGTCCTAGTTTTGACAAAACCTGAAGAACACTTATGAACATAGATTTTTAGGACATGGAATAATTTGGTAAATGTTATAGGCATGGGTTTTGTATCATTTCCCTAGCTTTCTTACATTAGTTTGCCTATGTTATCCATTTTTTTTTTTTTTTTTTGAGAAACTTTAACACTAGGATAGACGAGATATGCAAACATCACTTGAGAAATAATCTGTGCCTTTTCATGTGGCAATAAACATCATTCTGCTTTATTATATTTTCATTGCCATCCTGTTTTTGTTTTTGTTTTTTTTTTTTTTTCCGGATCATTTCCCGGTTCTAGATCTACTTATTATATATATATATATATATCACAAGTTGGATTGGAAATTTTGTTTCCTCATATTATGTCTCTTGTTGATTTGCCACCACAGGATATGAGGCAAGATCTGTGAGACATTAACTTTCAGGGATTTGCGTCCTCAGCATCTGCTCTTTGGATAAAGTGAAGATTTACTTTAAACCATGTGTGACTCTATATCATGATTTCTTTGTCAATAGTCTTGACTCTCAAAAAAGTTCCTGAATCCTATCCAAATGACTAACTTTTCAAACCCAGACAATGTTGCCCTAACTGATGATGGTAATTAGTGCATTGGAGATGCATAACAGAATTGTACTTGCTGAGTCTTTGGCTAAATACATGTATGATGAATCCTCTTATCATCATCTGAACTAGACTTTTGTTCTTTCATCTCTATCGCAGACTGGCCCAACCTGATTATACTTGTATGCTAATTTTTTTACTGAGAAACCTTAATATGTAGAATATGCATCATGCTTGAGGTGTCGTTGTTCTACTTTTTAATGGGTATTCACTCCATCAATTACATATTTAGCTATATCATTACCAGCTAATTTATTTCTTGAGTGTTTGGTATCAGAAAATAAAATTTATTTCAGGGAGTGATGTTTTGATGCATGTATTGAGAAGTACCTGCTCTGTTCCATTCTTGTACACCAGCACATCCTGCAGTTTGAGACACAATTCAGATATTACATCTCACATTACGTAGGTTGAACATGAGAGAGAGGAAGGGGGTGGGGAGCGCATACCACTGCTCCAGATACTAAGATATAAAACTCCGTAGGAATCTCGTTTTGTAAAATAATTTCAACCTTAGGAGGAAAATATTCTGCTTTCATTTCTGATACCTGGAAGAAGTAAGCACAATTGAGTCCAGAGTTAACATTACTTAGTTGTAGGTATCAATCATAATTTCTACCTTTTGTCTTAATACTACTGTAGTGATATCAATGTCTTTACTGATAAAAGTCGTACAGAGAGTAGGAAATTTTACCAACTGGGTAATAAGGTCTTCGGATACTCCTTTGAATAGGTAGGTGTTTGCAACCACACCACGGAAAAGATGTTGAGCAATGCTAGATCTGATTGCTTTTGGCAAGTCCTCTAACACCTCTTCTTGCTGCAACTCTGCTGTCTTGAACTTGAGTTGCATGTGGGCTAGCATTTGCTCTTTCAACCCTTCTGGAAGTCTATTCTTGCTCGCATATCTTAATATCTGATTGATGGCATTCCTCTGCAAAACACCAAACATTAGTAGATTATAAGCAACACTTTTTAGTTATGTTTGTAAGATGTTCGAGCTGTAGCTAGGATTGTTAAACAGATGAAAGATGCGACCATGAGTTGGGCATTGTGAGGAATTTGAAAACCAGAAGCTGTAGCCTTTTGCTAAAGACTTGTATGGTTTTCACCAGGGAACTGGTATTAGGTTGTTAAGAAGGTAAATTTGAACACTCATGACAGTATTTGTTAGAGACTAATATAAATTATATTATGGGCTTCACCTATCAGTTTAAGTTTTTAGGTAAGATAATCTTTTAATATAGAATCATAACTTGGTTAACCACATGGTCTTGGGTGCAAGTCTCACCACCTCTAATTTCTCAAGTATTAAAGTACGACAATATGGACCTATGTAAGTTTCAAGCTTAAATATTAAGGTTTTTACTTGAAGGGTATTTTAGAGACTAATATAAATTATATTATGAGACCTCACTTATCAACTTAACCAACTTAACCTTTTATGTGAGATGATTCTTTAATAGTATCTGTTGTATATAAATGTAGGCAGTGTAGAAGAGAGATTACCATAGCAAAAGTATGAACTGCGGCATGGACAATAAGATTAGTCATGTTTCCGATTATATAAGCTGTGAGGCCAATGTTGAATAGCATGTAAAACATATTAAAAATCTTCTCTCCCGTGTTTACTGCATGTAAGTCTCCATATCCGACAGTGGTTAGGGTGACAATCGACCAATAAATGGAATAGGTGTAGCCCAACCAGATGCTTCTGTGCTTGAAATCTTTAACCTGAGCTCCAATCCATGTATTACCTGCTGTTTGATGATGGGCAGCAAGCCAGTAGTAAAAGCATCCTGCCGAGTGAACAGCAAATAGTGTAACCTGCCATTGATAAAAGGAAGTCTTGATGGGAATGAATGGTTCAGGGCAGAACGTTATTGTTGAGCTGTTCGAAGGAATTGAGAATTACACTGATTAGTTTAAATAATCTTGTCCAGAAGTAGCTGAAGCGAGTGTCTTTCTCTAGCCTGTAGAAAATAGGTTGATGATTAGGGGAGAGTAAGGACATCCTGTCTGTTAGACAATAGTGAAATTTACCTTTTGTAGAGTTCACTGACACGCCTGAGCCGCCAAAGCCGAAGCAAGTTGAGGAAACCGAAGACCTCTCCTTCGTGCATTGTGCCGGTGAAGATTCTGTATATGATTTGGAATGGCAGAGTTGAGGCTACGTCCATTGGGAACATTAACCTGGTGATATACCTGAGAAAAGAAGTGAGAGAACAAATTTATTATTAAGAAAATAAATCTTAAAAAAACAAATATTTAGCAATAAATATTACAACTGCAAAAAACAGTCAAATATTTCAATCAATTTTTCCTGCTTGTTTTATTATGAATTTATTTCAGGATTTACTCTACAATAGATATCTCCTTTCGAACAGATATTCTACGGATCTTGGAGCTAAATGATTTCTCTCCACAACTTTTTAGTTTTAAATGGTTTTTCTCTCTAAAGTTTTTACAATTTTTTAGTTTTTAGTTAAGAAATAAGTTTGAATATTCATATGAAACTATGCATTTTAAACGCATGTTTGCATGACATCAGTTGTAAAAAATAATGTAAAATTGTTGTAATTCATAGCAAAATTGATTATCGAAACATATATATATCTAGAATCTAACGGGACAAACAGATGCTAATTTTTAACTGGACATCAGCCATTTTGGTTGTAGGTGAAGAATGCTATGCATACCAAATAAGTCAAATCAAAACTTCATACAAACTAATGTAATTAACAATTTCTCTTTTAATACATAACTATTCTTTTCATTTTGGAGTTATTATTATTACTTAAATTTAACCCATTTGTTTTAATAGAATTCTAGTATGCCTGGTTTGTTTGCAAATAACGCTTTTTTTTTTAGAATCCATTAAATACCCCCCAGAAGATAATCCTACTACTGTTGGATGATAGTTTGCCATAAGATGCAGCTTCTTCTATCGTTGGGTCTAAACTCGATTTTGTTGGGAAATTAAATGAATGTGCTGGTGTTATTTGGAATATACCGTACTGCAATTTTCTTGTGATCATCCACCAGAAGATAGGTCGAATTGTCCAAATAAGCCACGAAGAAAGTTAGGACGATATCAGCGGCAAAGAATGCGTCAACCACCAAATCGACAGGCAAAAGTCCTCCCGTAGCCACTTTCGTAAATGCCAGCTCAAAAGGAGATGCCCATGCCGAGTATACCACCAGCACCACAAGGAACGTTTGCCACCACCTGCATCATATTATCGTTTGGTTAAAAGTTTCCATATATTTTTTTTCTTTTTTATTAATTTATTTTTTCTACTTTTATTTGTTTTATATCCTCCTTTCTACTTTTAAAATGATATTTTTTTAGTTCTTATTATCATATATCCTGCACATTGTTACAGATCGAGCTATATAATATTCTTATATGTTCATTCATATAAAATACAAAATTAAAAATAATTATTTAGATGGATCACGAAAAAAATTCAAAAAATAGAAAGATTGAAACATATATTTTGTACATTGCAGCATGTTACCTAAACAAAAAGCTTACAAAATTGAGTAATATAATATTGCTAATTAGATGTTTGATACAAACATGTATTTTATTAGAAATATTTATAATAACCGATAACTAAAATAATGACTTGATAGTTTTTTGAATTTTAGATAATTAATTTCTACTATATGTTTTTCATTTGTAGTTTGTTAATAAGATATGTAGAAACCATCCAAAACAAAAAGATAAAAAAATTTGTCAAATTGGAATGAAATTGAAATATTTTAATATCTATTCGGCAAAAGATAAGAATAAAAATTACACATAATAAAACTTAAATGATCAACATAAAATAAAGATCATAAAATAAAGATAAAAAAAACCTTTTACTAAAAGCAAAAAAAAACTTATGAATAATAAGATTAAAAAAAAAACTCATTATGCATAAGGTATGAATAAAAATCAAATATGATAAAACTTTAATAATAAAAAAAAATCACAAAATAGGAACCAAAACAAAAAAAAAATTTTACTAAAAAAAGATTTAGGACAGTGAAACTGTATTTAATTTTAGTATAAAAAAAAAATCAAACATAATAAAATTTTAATAATCAAAATAAAAGAAAGATCACAAAAAAAAGATGAAAACATAACAAAGATTTCACTAAAAAGTAAAAAAATACCTGACAAAAATTAAATATAATAAAAAATTAATAACTAAAATTATAAAATGAGGGCTAAAATAAAAAAAATTTCACTAAAAGCTAAAATAGGGACTTAGCTACTGTTAAAGGTTAAATTTCACTAAAAAGTAAAAAAATACCTGACAATAATTTGATTGAAAACTATAATTGCTAGTCAATAAACCGGAAACTTCCGCCTTATATTAACACGTGTTTAAATCTATTTTTTCTTTTTCCTTTTTTTCCATTCTTCTTCTCTCTCCACTGTCAAATCACAATGGTCATCTTGGAACAAAACTCTGACTGTCTTTCTTTTACTCTCTCGTACCGGAATATGGTTCTTATCAATTGTGCAAAATTCTTGAATTAAACTATACCGATGTCGAGGAAAGAGTACTTTGTCTAACGATTTATTCAGACTAATTTTCATGAATTATAATAAATTATTTCTTACAGAAAGCACACGATGATAACCGGAAATCGTAGATCCCACCCATTCACAATGTTAAGCTTCCTAAAATATATACAATGATGTTACTATGTGTTTGATTATAATAATTTATTGGTCCCCGATTATTTATTGGTCCCGGATTATTTAATGTTCATTGAAGTTCGAATCTTTGAAAGCAATAACCATTGATGGTAACGAATGTGACCAAATCCTTCCCCTCTCTCTAACCAAAAAAAAAAAGGGCAAGAAAAGTAAAAGAAAGCAAATAACCAGGTAAAATAGATTAAATTAGCCCCTTTACGCATTATCACGGATGAACCATGAACAGTCACCGACTCACGGAGGCCTGCTACTAGTCTACTACTACAGGCCACGCCCAGCTAAGAAATATGAAAAGTTCCTCTCTTTATAGTCATGTAATTCAATACTAGCTACAAGTAAATTATAATTTTTTTTCTATATTTTTAAAGCTATTTTCATTACTTTTTCAACTTAGAATCGTCAGTCATGCACAACAATTAGCATATATATACAGCTATATATATTTGATTTTCATGCTGAAATGAAGCAATATAAATATGGAAGCATTATATTCATGAACAAGGACTGGAACTGAATTAAAGAACCTGAGAAAAAAACTTGAATGGACGGTGAAAGAATATTTAAATCAGTCCGGAGAAAGACAGCAAGTATACTCACCGGTATCTTCTATCATAAGGAGCGATAACATATTTCTTCAAGTGTAAGTAACCATCATCAACAACGGTTCCAAAAGCTGGTAAAAGGCTGCTCGAAACTGAGGCTAAATTCTTTCTGATATCTCCACTCGACCGTCTTCGAAACAGAAATGGCAACGGCGACCTTGTTTCTGATGAGGACATTATTGGCCGGCCGGACCCCTCTATACGTAGCAAGAGAGCGAGAGAGAGAGAGAGAGTGTGTGTCTTAGAGAGAGCTTTGTTCTTTACATGTTAGTAAAAGAAGTATTGAATTTGTCTTTTGATTCTGAATTAAAAATAAAATTACGTGGGGATATTGGCAATGAACTTTCACGGAACGTTCATTATTTTATGTTGGGATGATTGTTTTATTTATAATTTGGATCTAGATAATGTAGTTTTTTCTTTTTCTTTTTTTAAAAAATATATGATGTTGAAAACTATTGATTGATTAATGATAAAAGAAACCAAAAATAAGACGTCAAGAGAGTTGACAAAACAGCCTCAAATTTAGAAATTTCCACTTGGTGTATATAGCGGTGTGCACGCCCTAGCCATTACATAGACTTCCACCTCCACGTCTTGCAATTAGGTAAGAGAGTATTTTTTATTATTATTATCATTATTATATATTACTATTTGCTAGCAAAGCCTCATGCTGCCACTCCTACTTGGCAATATTTTAAACCCCCAGGAGCCGAAAAGAAATCGACAGAATTCTCAATTTCTGCCTCTTATAATTAATGGATCGTTGAAAATTAATTAGAACATGGTTTTCCTTCGTTATGGTGGCAGAACTCTCTCACTTTTCTCACACAAGTTTACTGAATGTTTTTCAATAATACCAAATCAATACCACTGTATATATTAAATTTTGATAATTGAATGTGATTTCTATTTAAAACACTTAAAAAGTTATATATAGTGGATGGTTATTTTTCAATTTTATATTTATTTATTTTGGGATAGCTTCTTTAACACATTGACAAAATGGACCCTACAAACCAGAAGATTCCAAAAAATTAAGACCCCCCATCAATGGGGTAGGGTTTTCAAAAACTCCATCCAAGATGGTATTTTAGGTCAAAATGTTTTCTTCTTGGAAATTTGGATTATAGTGCTCCCTTAGTCCAAACAAATTATAAGATTGATTTTTCATCTATATATTAAGAATATTATTTAATATGTCATGCAATCATTTTTTATGTATACTTTTAAAAAATACTTCTTTTTAATGGTAGATTTTTTATTAATGGAATTTAATTAGAGGTATTGTATTAAAATACATGACTTAAATGTTTGACCAAATAATTTTTTGGAATAAATAAAAATAAAAAGCAGGATTTACAAAAAAAATCAATTTTTTTTTCCGTAGGGAGGGATTAATACTTAGTGATAACACAATTGCTTAATTTATTAGGGACACATATAATAAGATGCACAAAGTGACACATACACACATATATATATTCCCTGGTTTGAGATAAGAATCATGATTAAATTAAAAAGGAAGCAATAAGAGAATCATGAAATTAATGGACTTCTCAAAAAAATAAAAAAATAAATGAAGTAGTCATAAAAGGGCATTAATTTTTCGTACATGGAATCAACGACATGCTTACATGCCTGAGATAGTAATAACAGAATAATACTGTCATCGACGGAAGTAATAGAACCAAAAAGGAAAAAAGAAAAAAGAAGGAAAAAAAAAGAACTGTTGACTATCTACGATTGACGTGAATATGTTAAATTTTTTGGGCAAGAGGATAAAGTTGACTTTTTCAATAAATTATTGTTGAAAAATTATATAATTATAAGCTTGATTATGTTTTTCTCATTTGGGTGGGGTTAAAATGGATGGTTATACTTTTCCTCTTATGCAACATTCTTCGCCCAAAAAAAAGAACAAAGAAAAAGAAAAGCGCAATAATCTTTTTTGTTTTTTTCAATGCCTCTTGAGCATGTTTGGTATTGTTGTGTCGTGGTTGCTAAATAATATTTGGTTAAATTCTATTGATGTAATTTTAACATATAACATGACTAATAAGAACTAGGTTTAGTGTTTCGGAAAATCATAAATTATATATTTTTTAATAATTTTAGCTCATTTTTTAAAAATTATATAGAAAGTTCATTAACTAAGCTTCCGATAACAATATTAGCACTTATCTAATTTTTTGATCAAAATTTTCGATAAACACCGACATGACAGTCACGTAAACATGACACGTGAACTTTAACAAGCCACGTAGGATCCATGTAAGCAATGGTGTAGAAAATCAAATACTTGGATCTCACGTGACTTGCTAAAGTCCACGTGTCATGCTTGTGTGGATCTTACGTGGCTTGCTAAAGTCCACGCGTCATGCTTCATCACCCGCCATGTCAACATTGATCGAAATTTTGGTAGAAAAATCAGATTAGTACTAGTATTGTTATCGGATGCTTAGCTAGTGACTTTTCTAATAATTTTTAAAAAACGAGTTAATATCATTAAAACGTATATAGTTCGTGATTTTTTGAAACATTAAGCCTAAGAACTACTTTCTCTCTGTCCAAAAGAGATTGTCCTTCTTTTTATTTATATCCGTCCTAAAATGATAGTTTGATCAAAATTTTAAATACTATATTTTCCTTAGGTACCCCTAATCAAATTTTTTTTTCATTTATTATTTTTTACTAACTAAAAAGTCAATGAATGTCTAGAAGGATATTTTAGGAAAATAAGAACAAAAAAAACCATAATTAATAATTTTTTTAAATTGTGTGAAAAGTCAAAGGGAGCTAACACTTTGGGACAGACAAAGTATAACATATTAAAAATACTTAAACAAATTTATTTTATTTATATTAAATGATTTATAAATTCTTAATTTTACATGTTATGCGAGTGCATGTATGCAATTTTTTTTATTAGAATAACTCTTAAGTTCAATAAACTGAAAAAATTAAATCGAGTGAGAGCACACACATATATAGACACATATTATTTTAATAATTTTTTTCAATATAATTAATAATATAGGGAAAAATTTTTTTTGAAAAAACAGTAATATCTTTCATGATACGTCTAATTTCCTAAAATAATATATATTTTTAAACAAATTAGTGGAGAAAGTTGTTATTTTAATTTTTAAAAATTGAATCCTACAGTAACCCGGTATGCTTTTGGTTAAAAGAAAAGGAGTATCTTGCTTTATTTTAAAAGCAAAATATATATTTTTTAAAATAATACTTGCTTTATTTTCAAATAAAAAAAATATTAACTAAACTTTATTTTTAAAAGATAGAAAGCAAAGCAATACCAAAGAAGTAATATTACAAGAATCAAGAGGATGACAAGGTGCTATTTTGATAAAAGACTAAATCTATAATTTTAAATAACGGTTATTACAAAACACAACGATTTTTATTTAACACAATTAACCAAAATTTTTATTAATTAGTTTTTTACCGTTATATGTGGCATAACTCCAATTAATACACATAATGGCGATAATATTGATAATAGTTGTTATTGTTACTATGTGTTACAAATAACATCGTTACAGTAAAAGAAAAGATGAATAAAATAATTGATGCATCAAAAAAAAAAAAAAAATGAACACCGAGGAAGTTGGAGGAAAAAAAGCAAGAAGATGGTTTTAGAGTTATTTATTTATTTATAGTTTTATAGATGTTCAAGTATACAAGCTGGCAATTACAATGGTTAATGAATTCTTTTGGACTAGACTTACTTATTGGACTTTATCATCTTGAGACTTTAACTTCATAACGTAAAATTTTGGACTTGGGCTTATGCATGGATGTTTGTAAGACTATTAGGCTATATAATTTTGTTATTTATAAGACCAACTATAACAATATTAGTTTTTTTTCCTTTTTGTATAAATACAAAAACATAGTTATATTAATGGATTTAAAACCATTTTTAATATACAAGAAAAATTAAAATAGAGATATTATATAGAAAGTACATGAAAATTTATTTATTATACTTATTAAGTAAAATTATTAAAAATATATGGATTTTTATGATTTGTTAATAGATGTTAATGCATTATTCGTTATAAAGGTGACAACAAACGTTATATTATAGTCGTAATAGATCGTGATTTGCGACCACGATTGCCATCATTTTTACAAACATGATTGCAATTTAAATTTATGGTTACATCCTTTTAGTCGAAAAAATAATTAAGATTTTGTTCCTCAACTCATTTGTCTCATTTGGCAATGCGTCATTTTTTTCCTACGATTAAATAAATGCAGTCATTTAGATTAACTTCCATCGAAGATGGAAAGGTATTACATTTCAATTTCAAATCTAGTTAACCCTGGATGGTCTTAGAAAAAAGAAAACCTGATGGAAATAAAGGAACCAGTCAATCTCATACCCACCTTAAGCTTGTGCAAAAACAAAACCTTAAAATTTATTCACATTTGTTCCGGATAAAGTATTTTTTTTTTTTAATGTAATAACAAAGATCAAGGTCAGATGCTTGATTCATGAGAATTAATCAAACATCTAGTCAATAGATTGATCAACAAATAAAGAGTTGGTGTTGTGACTTGTAGAAACAACGATCAACCAACTAAAAAAAAAATAAATGTAAATAGTGAGAGACATGACAGGAGGAGCAAGTAATGCTAGTAAGATGCGATTGGAGTGACAAGCAAGTAAATGGTCAAAGTTTAAAGAGATGGAGCTTTAGATGTTGTTTACTACATGAGTGAGAGAGTCTTGAGAGAGAGAGAGAGAGAGAGAGAGAGAGAGAGAGAGAGAGAGAGAGAGGTAGGTTTTGGAAAGGATCAAAAATTTTTCACCCCCTCATAATAATGTGAGGTCTGGTATATATAGTGAAATAAATATAACTTTTGACCACTATGATCATGCCAATGATCCGTGTTTTGACACTCGTATTCAAGTTAAAAAATCAATTTTTTAAGCCAAACTCGTTTGAACTGGCTAGTAAAAATTAAATAAAGTAATACTTGGACCTTTTTTGTTATTTTTTTTATTGGATCCTACTCTAAATCCACTAAGCCAATCTCACTAATACATCTTAAAGACAAGGTAAGGATACTAATTATGTCGGAATACTTGTGTCTATCATTGCATCGCCTAAAAGCCTTGTGCTAAATAAGGCTCATCCTCGGTATCATTCATTTGTTTTGTAGCTTGAATCCACGAAAAACTCAAGAAAAATAACATAGATTAGTGCATAATAAAATGAACTAAATCAATTAATTAATTTTTGAAAAAATGGAGCATATACATTTAATAAGCTCCTTGCATGGATAACTTTACTATTACGGGTGTCTATGCAATAATGTATGGCGAGATAAAAAAAAATTAGCTAGATGGACACGATGTTATCAAAAAGAAAATCTGAAAATTAAAAAATCACAGCCTAACCAACATACAACTTAGACATATGGACATGACGTTGTTATTAGGAAGAAAAACTAAGCATTAAAAGCTCATGACTTGTCGAACATATAATTTGACCAGATGAATATGTTATTGTCACAACAAAAAAAAAAAAAAAACAAATTAATCATAGAAACCTCCTCTCATCTCGTAACTTGACCAAATAGATTTGGTATTGTAAAAAAAAAAAAAAAAACTCTTGATCTGGCCATCACACAACTTGACTAGATAAATATGACATTACCATTAAAAAAGAAAAAAAACTGAGAATGAAAATCTCATGGCTTAGTTAACATGCAGCTTGATCATATGAACACTACGATGCCATTAGGGAAAAAAAAGAAAAAAAGGCGTATGGTCTAACTGACGTGCATTATTAATAATATAGCCTTTATGTTGCTATCAAAAAGAAAAATTAAACATAAAAAATTCACAATCTGACCGGCACATGACTAATGTATAATATGAACATAAAATTTTCACAAAATAAAATAAAATAAAAAACTAAACATAAAAATGCGACTAACATACAGCTTGGCTATATGAAATATAACATTGCCATAAAAAATAAAATAAATAAATAAATAAAATAAAAAATTGTGTTAAAAGCTCACGATCCGACATACACACAGCATTACCATCAGAAAGAAAACCTAAACATAAAAAGCTCACAGCTTGGCCAAATTGACAAGTTGGGCTAAATTGTTTCTATCTACTGACAAAAAGTAAAAGCAAATAACAATTAAACCTTTTTTTAGCAAAATCCTGCTCCAAATTCACAAAACTAATATTTTTCTAATAATCTTTTTCTAATGCACTCCAAAGACACAAAGCATGACATTAAACCCACTAAGATACTTATATCCATCCTTGCACAGGCCGAAGACTCATCTTTAATTCAATTCATTTGTCGTGTAACTTAAACCCATAGCAAAATCAAGAAAAATAACATAAATTAATATATAATAAAATTAACTAAATTACTTAATTTTTGAAGAAAAAAAAATCAAGCATATATACACGCTGCTTGCACATTTCCCTACCTACAAATTTTTTTGGTTCCCTCTTAAAACATGTTGGCATGCAGCATTTTACATTCGTTCCACCGTTGAAACAGAATAGTGTTATTTAACATTACAGCACATACGATCTCCCAGTGCATGCATAATTGCATTCATGTTGACCATATAATTAGCTACAGTAATGCAGTATCAATCACAGAGCCGCCAACAAAATTAATTGAGAAAAAGAAAACATTTTCTCTCTTTCTTGCTTTCTTTCTTTCTGTTATTCTCATTCCCATTTTCTAACCATATAAACTAAAGCCGCAAATTATTGAAAAAATATAAGACAAATTTAAAGTCGAAGCCATTTCAGTGCTATACATTATTTTTTTTTTATTAAAAAATTCCTATATAATAAGACAGGGATGAGCTGTTCTGTACCAGATTTTTTTCCCTTCTTACTTTGTCATCATCTGTTCTTTAATCAACTCTGGCAGCACTGTCATGTATCCAAAAGGTTTCCAATTGAACATCTCTAGTATCCAAAAAAGGTTTTTCAATTGAACAACTTGTTTGAGCGTCTGTGCAGAATGCTGATCAGCCTTTGTGTAAATTTTGACCAGCCTTATAGTTTTCTCGTCACATCCTTGAAACTTGGCAACCCATCAAACACCATGCATGCCATGTTCAGAGGTCGCGATTGTAGGATTAGCTGAAAGCTAAAAAAGATAGGAACAGACCTCAAATGCTTTTGCTCTGGTAGTTCATATAGTGCAGGTTTTAAAGGTAATTGTGAGACCTCAAATGCTTTTGCTCTAGTAGTTCATATAGTGCAGGTTTGAAGGTAATTGTGAGACCTCAAATGCTTTTGCTCTGGTAGTTCATATAGTGCAGGCTTTGAAGGTAATTGTGATAATCTCAGCATCCTAGTGCAGTGCTGGAAACTACTTCTACCATTCTTCATATCACAAACTTCGAAAGCAATTGTATTGGCCTAGAGTAAAACTGCACTTCTCCTGTGCTACAGATTACATGTACTGTGCCAACCACTGCTTGCACATATCAAGTACCGGCAGTGCATTTGCATGTAATGCCTGCAACATGATAATCCAAGGACATGAGTATTTTTCTTACAAACTAATGGGACCAAAAAAAAAAAAAAAACAGTAATAAATAAAAAACAAGATATGCAAAAATAATCCAAAAACATGACTGAAGGAGCAACAATGCTTTGGGTTGAAAATGATTTCGTAAATGCTAAAGTTTACAACCAGAGCAGCCCAAGCACAGTACCTGGATTTTAAGGTTATGTATGGTCCTAAGAAAGACAATCACACTAGAATAATAACTTTTTGAGTATTTACTCAAAAACGAAAATCCAAGTAGCAACCATGCCAAGAAAGGAAGATGAGCGAGTTTTCAGACCCAACTAGGTCCATGAGAAAATGCGTTAGGCACAGGCAGTTTGGACCTCAAATTAGGAAGCCCAAAGATATAGCCTCTTTCAAGCACAATTTTGCAGCAATTCTAACAAAGAACTATTTTCATATGACAACAAAATCAAAAAAACGGCAAGAGCATACTTGGCATCATAATGACCTGACTAAGCAGTGCAGAAAATCATGTCCATATGCAATCCTACTTTTCTCTAAATATAAATATATAATTAAACCATGCATCCATCCATTAAATGCATCTGAAGTTATTAAGACAAATTCTCAGTGAAATCTAAGTTGATTGAAAGAATAACCTGATGAGCTACATATTGAACATCAGCCACACTTCCACTTCGAGAAGCGATTTGGAATGCACTTTTTAGACGACCACAGACAACACAAGCCAGCACCTTCCTGAACAGACAAAAAAAAAAAAAAAAAAAAAAAAACAAAGCTTCTATTTAAATCACATAATAATTTTTAAACAAATTAGAAAGTAAACAGGGTACAGAGGCAATATTCCATGTTAAACGAACTATTTTAAAAATGAACAAGTTTCAGGCTGCCACTTACATTTGTTACAATCAAGTCTAGAGCTCACAAACTTAAAAGGGCAGAAAATATAGGCAGTTACAAAAAAATCTAAACAAACTCTGTGTTCTTGTAGAAGGCATTACTTCATCATCCCTGTTTTCTGATAAATCTTTCCAATAATGTTTCTCCAAAATGAACTAGAATTAGTAAAAGCATGAGTAAAATTACATCAAAAAAAAAAAATTACCTGTGACTACTGGTTAACATGTCAATGAGACGGTCTGGACGTTCTTTATGTTTGTTAGCATATACGTTTATTGCAGCCCCCAAGACCTATATTAAATGTTATCAAAAGAACATATGCTTACTGTAAATAGAAACACACATAATATGGAATTAGAAAGCTTGTGAAGGAAGGAAGGTGAATAAATATATAGAAGTAATTAAGGAAGAGATTAGGATAATGCATTTGATACTAAGAAACAAACTGGACTATGTAATAAGTTACCAGCTTTGTTCATTATCTTCTTGACATCTTAATTAGACATCTGCATTTTGTTTTATTTTTCAATCAAAACATCCGGCATGATGAGGACACATTATTTTGTTCTCTATCCTTTATTACCAAACAAAACAAGGATGATCATTATGACGATGTTTCTTTGGTATTAACAACCGAGTAGATAAAGCAATGGATTCACCAAAACTAGACCCCGTAATATTCCAAATTTTCATTTCCTCTGTAAAATACTATTGGGAGGGGAAGAAGGAAGAATAGCAGATAATAGGGCTATATCACTGTTGTTTGTTACTTAATCCACCCTCTTGTAAAATAATTATATCAATCTAAGTTATAGTAGCACACATCACAAAAATATGTTGCAAACTTAATGGAATTAAAATGATGCAACCCTAAAATTCAGGATGACATTCTACTGTTCCAATCTATTCAATCCCATTGAAGATAATATTTTATCACTTTACCATTTCAACTCTTAACTAACCAAAACATACCCTTCAAAGGATATTATAGGATGCTTTCACTATTCCCAATTGTCATAAATGTCATAATATTACCTGATCCCAATCATCATCATCAATAGTTCCTTTAATGTTTCTAAAAAATTCTGTCAACTGGCCGCCTCTTTTTCTCTCAGCAAGTGATGCAGCAACACCAGCATATATATCAACAGCTGCAAGATGAGAAAAGAAAATAGAACCATAAAACAAGTGCAACCAACTCTAAAGCTATACTGAGGAAAGAAAAACACTATGCTATAATAACATGTGATAAAGTTTTAGATGGTAATGTAACAATTTAATGGATACCTGGAAGATTAAATTCATAGATTATTTGGAAAGCCAAATCAAAGTTCTTTTCGACAAGCGTCTCTGCAATCTCACACCTTCTCCTGTAGATCGACAACCATGGTAGACAAAACTCTCTCATCATTATATTATATGGGTCCAACCAAGAACAGAAAACATTAAATATTATATGAATAAATAAGATATTTAATGGCATCCCCTCATCTGGATATAGCAACATTATCTGGAGTTTTTAGATCCAATTCCAACCTAATGAGATATAGGATAAGAATAGAAAGAAAGTCACAGCTTCCCCAACTATATGATTCCCTTTTTTCCTATCTGAGCAATCTGCCAATAAACCAATTGTTTCCTGCAAAGACATCTTGTCTGGATTTTCTCAAGCCATTTCTTCTGTGATTTTTTTGGATGTTGACCAGCTTACTTTTATTTTCTCTTGTAGTTACAGAAACATAACATGCATCCTTCCAAGCAATAGGAGCAAAACCCATTTGAGCTCTTAATGAGTCTTTTACTAATTAACAAATGGAAAAGAAACTAAGTGTAAATTAAAAAAAAAAAATTAACTGAAGAAAGTAGGTGCTCTTAATACTGACCTGAAGGTTTCTGGATCATTTGGGTTTCCAAAAAGAGAATGTTTCCACTGTGGTCCATCTGAATCATTGGAGGATTTCACAACTTCCATCTACAAATGAAATCCAATGAGACAGTCAAACAGAATAAACAATTCAGGCAACTTGAATATAATACTGACCTTTGCCCATATGAAGTATACTAACTGTTTGAAACCACAGAGAAAACACAAATCATTTAAAGGCATGTCCTAATGATTTTGTGTATTTGGCATGAAATATCTAATTGTTTTTTCCTTTTTATAGAGGCAACGTCTACATGGATGTGTCAACAAACAGCCATGTATCACTAACAAGGTAAATGCAATCTAGCAAATAATTATTTATTCCAACATGTTCGCAAACTGTCTAACTTCGTTTTGGACCGGTATGTTAGCACCATAAATCTGTACCGCAACGGTTCAACAATACAATTAAGGTAAAGGCCAGTCTTAACACATCGGAAGAGTTTATAAATCCTAAAATCTAGAAGAAAGACCCTTTAAAGACTCGAGAGAAAACAAACTAAACTCTACAAACAACCAAGAACATACCTTTAATGCCCCGATAAAATGCTAAGTTCTTATTAGTTGGAAGATTAAGTTAAATGCTGGTTTTAACACAAGGGATGGGATGAAACTTTCACCATTCTAACAATAACATAAATGAGTGAACACAATCCATGATAGACTTACTCGATCGCTATTTTAGTGGCACAGAATTAAAATTAGAATCCAGAACAAAAAAAATGAAAGGATAAGTCTGGGGTATACTAGATCTGGAATCTTAATTGAAAGAGCCACACGTGAAAATGACCACTAAGTATTAACCTTGGACAACCACAAGACATCTTTTCGGTGTACTGGAAGAACGTAATTACCTGGATTGAAACCCTAGCAGAAAACTTAACAAGTCCTTCTTCCGTGAGCTTCTCAGATGCACTTTTTCCTCTAACACCCTTAGTGACAAGCTTTGTAGAGTCTCCACCTTTGTATCGAGCTGACAATCCTTCATCAAAATGCATCTATACCCAGAAGAAAAATTGATAAAAACATGATCCATCTATAAACAGGGGTATTAACAACTTGAATATAGTTTTAAGAGAACATTCAGCAAGAATATCATGCTCCTATGATCACTGCATTGCTGTGGTTCTCAGAAGCAGCATATGCTGGCTATAACAGAGAATGAGCTTTTAAAAGCAAGACTTTTAGTTAGTCAATCAAAGATGGCTGAAGACTGCCATAATTCAGTTAATTGAACCATTTATTGCTAATGTTTCCATTCAAAGCATATGTTGCATTCACCTCAAATACATTAGCTTCCCTGATTTCAAAGTTTGGCAACAACTTCCTTTCACATTATAAATAAAGTGCTTCAGATCATAATCATCACAAAATATTTATTAATTTCTTTTGAATTACTAATCTATACTTACTTAATTCCTATGCATGTACAATTTCCATTATGCGAGACCGCTTAACTCATTCAAAATTGTCTTTCATTTCAAGGCTTGTATCCATGCACTTCATATTTGCTTAGAGTTTGCTCCAGGAAATATATTCATTGTGTAATTATGGTGATCATCTAAAGGAACTCTTTTGAATCATGCCCAAGATCTCTAGAAAGCTGAATTGTTGTTAAATATTCATAAGATGTTTAGAGCGTCAAATATACCATATAGGCTGCATTTATGAGTACATTTCTCTAAGTTTCTTCTCTCATAACAGCAGTCGAGAAATGTTTTGAGTTATGCTCCTTTCGATGAGTTCTCTTCGTTTGTATGCTTTGGCACACACACTCGCGCACGCATGCACATATTTTGAAGTTCACTTCCTCAAATTGGAAATGACCTCTACTAATGTCACTTGACAGTTACCAAAAGATATTGCTTCAGTAGATCTATCAATCTTTCCGGAATTTTTCTTTGCACAAACACAGGCCACAACTCAGCAATGTAACAAAGAGGGCGTGACAAGAGAAAAATCAAGTAGTTACCTTTGCGTTTTCCAAGTGTTTAACAGCTTCCTCTTGTGAAGAAGAATTCATAAATAACTGAATACAACATAGTCCAGCAGCAACATGATCCTTCTTGATTACCTGAACCAATGAATAAATTTAAGTGCACCACAGATAAGCCCTGCTTGGAAGTTTTTTTCCCTTTCCTTACAAATTCATAGTGATGCAAACACAATCACACTGGAGGTGATTGAATCAAAATTACAGAGTCAACCATAAATCCCCAAAAACCTTGGAATAGTCCAAAGCTATGACATAGTGTTGGCTTGAATTTCTCCTGGGTCTATCATCTACTAATGCGAAGTGGACAATATAGCAAAGAGAGGGTTTCTTCCCTTGAAAGAGTAATGCCTACTTCTGTCTCCCCAACTGTCCCACCACTTTCTTTTCACGTGTTCTGTTTTTCAGATGCTATGTATCAATTTTTCAAAGTACTTTGTCTGGTTTAGATCACCTCATGTTATCATAGTGAGAAACTATTTTTATGTCCACAACAATAATGAGAAAAAAGTCTCACAGCTTTAACAGACATATTGAGATGTCGAATCAGGTTTAAAACTAAGATTCACATCTACCAACCAAATAGTTACTCAGAAGTGTTCAGTGGAAAGAATAAAACATATTTCATAAACAGGACAGGTAACTGTTGTAAAAGATCATCCCTTGCAGATATAATCTGATGCCCAAAAAGATCTTTTTATCCTAAAAATAAGAATGTAAACAAAAGTGAACATGGAAAAGGGAGTTCCATTTACCTGAAACTGGTAGAGATAATTGAAATGCCTATGAGTTTCACAATAGGTGCAAATACGTGCAAGGGCTGCAGCAGTATGCTGATTTACTGCTACATCCTGTTGTTTTGCAGATGCTATTCTTGTCGATATGACTTCTTCAAGAACATTCATGGCACCATAACCAATACAAAAGTCACACAAATCATCAATGGTCCCATAATCGGTTACTAAAGGGTCAAGTCTTTGAGGCGATGAAGATGAAGTCGCTACTCCCATGGCTGAAGGTTGAGGAGGTGGTGGAACAGCATTTTGGGGAAAGAACAACATGCAGGCATCAGTGTAGTGCCCATGTCTGAACATAAATCCAACCAAATGCTGAGGAGCGTACTACAGAGTCCAAAGAAAGAAGGAAAGTTAAATATAACAGCCAGACTACAATGAAGAGATGATGGAAATAATTGTTTGTTATCATGAGCAAGAAGCACTAGAGGTGCAATCATGCAGCAATGCAAACTAATCAAAAGCAATGAGTACATAGGATTCAAGACACTAGGCAACAAAATATAACACACTATTTCAAACACAACAATTTCTGCTCATGAAGGATTCATTTTTTCTCCCAAGAGATTTGTTGCATGTTGTGATACCATTCTACAACACTTGCATCTTGTGCACCATGGCAAAGCTATGCTGCCTTTTGTCTTTGTTTATTAGATGCAAAAATGACTAGAGAAACAAAATAACATGTGCATATTTGGAATACAGTGGTAGACACTGCATTTGAGAGATGATTAGCCATGCAAACCTTCTATTTCGATTATTTGAAAATTTAAGAAGAATTAGTAGAAACAATGTTGATGTTTTTACATTTTTGGGAAATCAAATTTATGATGTAATGCATATTATTTTCTTAATAAACATAAATTGCTGACTTATCCACAATCATAAATGATTTGTACTTGCATATTCACTATCTTATAAAAAGCCAATTAACTCATATTTATATTTGTTGAATGGGATGAGATTAGTCTCCTAATTACTCACCATAAGGAGAAAAATAGTTCAAAGATAGAAAAAAACAGAAATTTAATTACTATGCTAAAGACATTAGTTGTTTAATTTCTTGGTACGCAAGCATATCCAATAATCAATTTTTGAGCACTATTTTTTGTTTTATTCAAAAGAAAACAATGTTAAAGAAAAAGTTGTCATGTGAGAACTCACCGGATACTCATTATTTGATTGCTATTACACTACTTAGTTCAGCATTCATATTTTTTGCAACACATTATTAATTCCAGATATTTTTATTCTTCTTTAATGCATGCATGTAAAATGTTAGTGCTATTTTTCCAAAGAAGTTTTAAAATTACATAATTGGAGTAATTATTCTGTAACTGACAAGGAAAGTCTAAGTTTTATTTCAGAAGCAAGATTAAATTTCCTTGAGATTTTAATTTCTTTCATATTTAGAGGAGCCATTGTTATGATTTTAAAATATATGATACACAATACACACAACATTTACAAAATTTTGCAGTATCTTTTGGGAAAGTTAAAAAGGTGGTGTGGACGTGCTCCCCTGGTCCACCAAAAAAAATTTTGCCACAACCTGACAGAGTCAAAGCTGCCAAAAAGAATGTCCATTGAAAACTAAATTATATGCTTAAGCTGGAAAGGCAGTTCAACTTACTTCCTGTAAATAATTAACACACTCAACATAACGAATGCTGTCCAAGTTGCTGCGAGGTCCATCTTCAAACTCAGAGCTGTAAGCTGAGTTATTATTTGCAGATTCTTGGTAATGCCTGGATCTCTCTGAACGTGGAAATGTAGACGGCATGTTCAGAACATTGAGGTATGAATCGGCAGAAAGAGAATCATCCAAGATAGTTGGTGCACTTCTGGCCAAATGTTCATACCTGTAGTATCAGTCCTATTAGAAAGCCTTTACGAGAGGGAATCATTTGGAAAGCATATTATTCTTATTTTTTCTCTTCATTTTCTATTTATGAAACTAAGTCCTTCTAAACTTAATACATACCAAAAAAACAGTAACAGTTCCACTGCAATAAAACCACACCAGTTATACCAGAGTTGCAATATTAACAATAAGATATTGAAAACTTCCTAGCCAACACATCACAGCAAGCAACATCACATTATCTCTCCAAATGGAAAGACACCATTGAGAAAAGAGAGAAACTGCTCCAGACCTGAGTCTTCATACAATTTCGCCTCAACTTCTAATCATTAAAAGCCCTATAAAGAATTTTTATGCACAAAGATACCTGTATTCATAATCATATGAAGCATATATAAGAAATTTGGATGCCATCTTACATAGAACGAACAGCTGACACATCCACTGGCGGGCCTCCTTCAATTGTATTAATAATTTCTAGAATGATGGGTGCAGGGTCACCCTTGTGCAATTGAAGAGCTTGCCTGAAACCATTGAAGGACAAATAAAGAGAGGTCACGATCAACATGGAAGAGAGAGAAAGCGATCATACTAATGGACTAAAAATGGCAGCAGCCGTAACTTACTTGAATTTTACACGAGCTTGTGCATAGTGTTCCATCTGAATCAAAGCATGTCCCCAAGCATTCCATACAGGGAAAACATCAATCTGACAGAAACCCCGAGAATCCATGAGCTCAAAATGAGCAATATAGAGTGGTAGCATGTATTTGTAATCTCAAGTTATGACTTTTTACCTTACACTTTCTGCAAGTATAGACAGCCATGCTGTACTGTTCATCAACAATTAACCTGTCACGAAGACGGGCAGATGACTCTTTATCAGCAATATCATCAAGAGAAGCAGCAATTCCTGACCCCAAAAGGCTTTGGAGCAGCTCAGCACATCCTAGCCAAATTTCTGCCTGTGACAAGATTTCAGATGGCTCATCTGTGGACTGACTGCCTACACTAGAGTTACCAGCATCTGAAGATACATCATCAGCATCCCTACTTCTTTCAGAATTACTGGACAAGTCACTCCCCCCAACAAGCTTCCTCAGCAGGGATTTAGCATAAAGTAGCCCCTGCAAGTGCAACAAGAGAATCAATGTCACTATCCACTTCACAGACTATACTGCACCTGGTGGCAACTGAACCACAGAGCAATGTTTTGCATCAAAATGCATGCCACATTTTGCCCTAGTTGATGTGGCATTTTTAACCATCGTAATAAAGAACAGTTATTCCCATTCCGTACAAACTGGGCTAGTCAAACACCAGTACCTGAACAAATGTCTCTGTCGCATGATATGCTCTACCGATTGTTTCTGTTGATGCATTATCTGGTAACTGTCGTGCACCCAAAACATTCCTCATCTGATTCATACATAAATCCAGAGCACTTTTGGCCGACATCAATTCATCAGAACACAATGATAGCAGCGCCTAGAAATAGAAGACAAAAATCTTCACTGGATCAACGACAGCATAGTTGACACTAAAATCAGTCAATGCATGAAAAACCACCATTTTCTAAAATTCAAGATCATTGCATGAATAAGAAATATGTTGTATTAAAGCCAAAATTATCCGATTCAAGTAACATAATCAATCATTACTATTGCAAAAATTATGCTGAAAATCACATCTGGGAGAGCAATCTGCATAAGCTTAAAGTTCAGGAAGACCCAATTTATTACAGTGCTACACTTTGTATTTGGAAGTAAATCACATAAATATCAGGCATGAGCACAAAGCATAGATTCACTTATTAACAAATTATGATATAGATAATAGAATTAATAGAATTTCAATAACCAGATGAGCCTTATCACAAGCATACCTTAAAAAGTATAATGTCAGGGGCACTTTCATATCGGTGTGATGCACGAACAGCTTCATCCTTATTAGCATCACCAGTTAGCATCCATTCCTCAGCAATTGAAACCGATGGGAGCCGCTCCTGCCCATCTGCAGAATATGATGATGCATGATCTTCTTGAATTCCAGTCATTGCCTCCCATGTCACTCTTTCAGATGGTGACAAACCAGAACTCTTTCTTTTGCGATAAGAATCGTTTGGAGCATTCTTATCTCCATTATTTCGCGGGGCCCAAGAAAAGGCTCTACGAGCCTCTTTTTGCAAGTTACTTAAACTGCTAGTAAAAGACGACCTTGCAGGCACACCTGTTCGCGTTTTAGGTTTTGGTCTTGTTCCAGATACAGAGATCCGTGGTTCTCTGAAGGGAGAGTTAATACTAACAGCAATTGCTTTAGCAGCATATGAAACAACTACACTGTTGTCTCTCAAAGAAGGAAATTCTTTAAGGATCTGCTCACAAATATTATCCAAAAATTCAATCAGGAAGGCAGTAAGGGAAGTACAAAAATACTTTTAGAGGAAAAACAAGGCATGATCTTGGATATTATTGCATTCAAGTAAATACGAGCACTGGAGTTTTATGCATGTCATACAATCACGAAAGTGGTATTTGTAATAAATAGCAACTCCAAAATCCAACAGTCATGAGCAAAAATGAAGACACCTGAGTAAAGTAATATTGGTTATTTTATAATACCAGAGCAGCAGATTGCAGCTGTTTCCTCATCAGCAGAACCTCCAATATCAAATGCGGGTGCTCATGCAGGGAAGAGCACCTTTGCTGCCATGGCAAGGGCAAGGCAGCAAGAACACGAAGGCCCAAAGCCCATGAGTTAAGCCGGGCAACCTCAACATCTGATAGATTCCCATCTCTTCGTTTAAGGAAAAAGTGAACCTTCAAGAACAAACAAATGGAAGCGAGCATAATGAAAAACTCAAATTCTAAACAGCATATATGATTACTTAAAACATGTTTTAAAAAAACAATGAAAACAATTAATTACAAGAAGTTGCTTTGACCGCAGGTTGGGTAAGAGCTGCATTGCACCCATTGCAACTGGTAAAGCATCATCTGAATCACGTAGTGATGAAAGAAAGCGTGAAGCTTCAGCAGGACCCCCACCATTGAGAGGGTCTGCAGTGAGAAGTTTCACGAGTTGCCGACCCTTGAGTTCTCTCCTCAAGTCTATTGACAATCCTGCACTCTCAGCCACTTCTAGGGCAGCAGAAACAGCTCCTTTCCCTGCTAATCTGAGTGCCAGGCCCTCAGGATCTTCTTTACACTCTTCTTCAACCTGAAAGCTCCGGCAAAAGCATAAAGCAAATAAAAGGTAATCATAATCAGAAACAAATATCTAAAAAAGAAATCCTAGTTAATTAGGATTTTAATTTTTTTGAAAACAATCTTTCCCTAAAAAAAATAAATAAATAAGGAAGAAGAAGAAGAGAGAGCTATTACCTCTTGCCAGCTGCTATAATGATCATCTGCAGTTAATATATGGCTGTACCTTTGCAAAGCCTGTCTCCTTTGCAAGACCTGTGACCCAAAGAATAATGTCATTGCTTGGCAAATATAATAGTGAAAGACAAATCATATTAGCTGAAAAATCAAACTTCATCAATGAACCAATAATTTAAATTCTGGAATTTACAAACAGTAACCAGACATTATGTATAAAAACCAGTACCTCATTCCTGACTGGATCACTCTCGGGCAGATGGCAGCTGCACATGGTGAGTACATCTAGAGCAGCATCAAGTTCCCATCTGTGCATATACCTGGAATAGAGCTTCTGATTTGAGAAAATGGTAATTTGGCATTATGTATTTCGATTGCGAAAACACATCCTATGAGTTCACATACTTGAGGGCAAGTCTAGCTGCCAGTTGTTTATTCTTCAGTCGCAGGCAATACTGCCAGCTATTGCTCCAGATACGATCCCCCCATAACCTTGAGGTACAGAGAATGGATGATCTTCTTCTCCACGTTCAATAAGTAATTGAAGTAACTGGTCTGAGGCTCCATCACGTAAAAAGCGATCCGAAAGTGCAACAGCATCCATTAGTTTTCCTTCGCTAATCAATCTGCAAGAAAGAGTACAGTAAGTCAAAATAAATACAAAAATCAGAATTTTTTTTTAAAAAATAGCAATAAGTTCTATTTGCTGCTTCAATTTCCAGTCTAAAGAAAAAATACAACTGACTTGGCTAAAAGTCTTCAGCCCTAAAACAAGCCCCCAAAACATATGGAGAAAAAATTGTTGGCAGAATTAGTTGGAATTGGAATGGGCACGTATTACACTTACAACTAAAAGGGGATTGTGCTTTCTTTTTACCAAACTAAACTCAATTAACCAGAAAGGCTTTACATGACATAAATTCTTAGAAACAACAAACAAGCCTTTTGAGAGCTTATGAAGTATGGACAGCTTTCCAATTGTATTCTCATCCCTAAGACAACTGGCCAGTTTCGTTTATTAATTCTTTAATAGTACCAATAGTCACAAACAGGAAAGTTCACATGCAACGGCCAAACAAAGAAAAGGCAAGGCAACTATATAACAGATAAGACAAAGGGAAGCAGGAGAGGTGGAGGTACAAAAAAAAAACATTAAAGATAATACCTCTCCACTGCTTTCGCATATGGTTCTTCATTTTCCCAATCTAGGGAGAGAAAAGCTGTATTATCGAGTTCAACAGTGTCAGGTTTTGAGGAATCCTCCTGTGGTTCAGGAACTGCAGCACCTTGACTGCCAAGGTCTGGCAAAGTCGTTGAAATAGTACTGCTACCAAAAGTGTCATCAACTTCTGACTCCGTATCACTATCTCGCTCACGAAGTCTCTTAATAGCAGCCCTTGCATCGGCTTTAACCTCACCAGCATCAGCTTTTCCTCCAGCTGTTACAGCAAACTCTGAAACTCGATGGAGGTTACTTTGCATTTGTATCCACCGGTTCAAAGTGGGGAACCTGTTAACATTTACCAAATAAACTAGGGATTAAAGTGAAATTGTGCAATTATAATGTAAAAGAGTTATAAGAGTGGTTCAATTGTCAAGCAATGTATATTACCTCTCAGATTGATCAAGAGCAAATTCATAAAATAGCCTGTCATTGTCAGGTTCCTGCAATGATCCATCATCCATGGAGCCAGACATAGAAGAGTCACTGCCACTGTATAGTATACTCCTCCCAAAAACACATGCTAACACAGCCCTCACTGGGGATATTTTAACAAGATGTTTTACAATATCCAACTGGAGGGGATACAGAGGAATTCCAGGAGTTGATGAGAAACTGCTGTAGCAATTAGGCTTAGCTTCTTTACAGGATGGAGACAGTACTTTATTCTCCAAATAACTCTTATGGAAGGTAGCAGTGACAGGAATGCAGGCCCATGCATGACCAGACCGAGGTGGATAAACAGGAGGTACACATGCTGAAATCACTTCATGGACAAAATCAGCACACATAATGTCAGCAACCTTGCCAGCTGCGTCAGTGCTGCCTCGGTCAAAGACTAAACGAGTTAGAAGCTGCAAAACAAAATAGTAAACCATAAGCATTTATGTGCTGCAGCAGAAATTGCATGCTCAGGTTCAAACCAAATCTCAATGGTAAAATTTCAAGGAACATGACAATTTGTTTCAGTGACAATATATGCATTCAAAAAATATCATTGGCTTACAGCACCTAAGTATCAAAGAGTAAGGAAATTCTTTTCAATTTGGGAAAATATAGATCAAACTCCTAATAACTGTTAATCAGATAAAAATATTAGCAAATTCCTTTAAAAATTACATCACATAATGCTGCAATAAAGTGGGATTCCCTCCAACTAATGCTGCCAAATCTTAATATTCATTAGAAGGCCTTTTCCGCTTCCTTTTCTCAAACAACCTATTCTGCTTATTCCATGACCATTGTTGATGGATCAATGGTCCCCAAACACCTTGTAGATCCTCAGATTCAAACTTACTATATGCTCAACTATTTTTCAGTACAAATGAAAAACATGCAAAACGATTTTTTTTTTTTTTTTTTTTTAAGAAAAATAACAAAAAAGGTGGCACTTTTCACCTCTCACAAACCTATGTTATGGAGGTCAGCCCGATAGGAATAACTTTTGCATTGCGAATTCTAGTATCCTCTATAAATTATGTTAAACATTCCCATGAAGTGCTCATGAACAAATCTACCAGGTTCAGAATTTATGTGATTTGTGAATATCTTTGGCCTGAAAATCAGTCACTTCATGGTACTAACCTTACATGTTGGAGTTTTTCCTTACGTTCAAAACACTTGAATGCAGCAAACTTATTTCAATATTTTTTAGAGATTTCACAAAACTATTACACCTGTCAAAGAACCAAAACTTAACTGAATTTTATCTTAGAAACACTAAATGCAAGCCAAAGATCAAAATAAATGCATTGACAAAAATAAAACGATATTCAATGAAGATAATAAACAGCTTACATCTTTTGGCCACTCATAAACAAGCGAGAAAAAGTTGAAATCATGAGTTGTGTCAGTGCCATCAACTATGTCACCAATTGCAGCAATATGGAGAATAAATTGTGAAAGATATGTTGTAGGCTTAGCACTTAAGGGACCAAACAATCTCTTCCCCGTATCTTTCATATCATAACCAACAGGCTGCATGCTAGTTTCTCCACCAGCAGAACTTTTGGGTATCTGTTTCACAACTTTTAACCCAAGTCCAAGAACCCCTTCTTTGTCAAAATGAGACAAAAGTTTACGCTCTACGTATGGGTTATCGCCTTTTACTATATTTAGTTCTGTTTCTTCGTCAGCAATAGCTCTTGCAAGATTATGAAGCTTACCTAAGATTTTGTGTGAGAAAGATGATCAGAATCACAAGGTAAATCTTCCCAATATGATAAAAGCAAAAACGAATAACTCCTCCTACAAAAATGCAATAAAGAATAGGATACCACTCAAAAACTGTCGCTTTCCCCTGTGAGCATCTTCAATCATCTGATGTAAAATAGCAAGAGTACGTTCTCTTTGCCCCTGCCGGAGCAACTCCTTTGATGATGATATACTAATCTCCCCAGCCAGAAATGCCTGGAGGCCTGGACCATCACCCTAGAATAATATATCGAGCAATGGGATCAATAAGACATTCAATAGGAACATTGAGCGATCCTGATAAAGAAACAGAGGATCACCAAGAAGCTGCATTGACAGTTTTTCTCATCTCAAGCATGTAATAAGTGGAGCAAGTTGCCAATAAAAGTAACTTTAAAGGTAAAATTAGTTCAGCCATTTCCCATTATTTTCCCTTCCACAAAGAACTTGAAAAGATTAATTTGAAATCGGGTATGGGCTTTCTATGAGAAACAGCTTGGTATAAAGGCCTTTCTTTCATTTCTTTTGAAAATAGGGCATCCTTTAGAAAGCATTTTATTCTTATCAGCGGGGACAGTTGAAAGTTGCTAAACAAGAGAAGTGGTAGGTCGTGGTTCGACTTGTAGCAAGTCTAGACTTCCCTGGCTTAGCAGGAGCAATTGGATATAGAAACCTTTAATCTTCTCTAAGGGGTCTGAAGGAAAATTAATGAGGGTGGGCATGGAAGCTAAACCAAAAGATGAAGAAAACTTCCTCCGGGAAATGATCCATGTTATAAAGGTACTCAAAGAAGTTTTCAACTTTAGCAAGAATTTGGTTCATTTTCAGAAAGGAGATAAAAGAATTTTGAACGAAAAGTGCAGATGAAAGAGTAAAACTATGGATAAATCAATCTCCAAAGCTTATTGTGGGCATGATCTATAAAAATGAGAATCAATCAAGAATGATTGAGACACATATCGCTTGTGATAACTTTTGTTTTAGTAAGTGAACTTACCTGTTCCAAGAACTCATGTAGACGCTTGAGAACACGTCGTGATACAGAAATAATTCCCACTTCAAGAATCTGGTCCCAGTAAGTCGAGCCTATCTTTGGAGTAGCTCCTGGATATATCTCAGATAACATAACTTGAGCCTGCAATATGGTCATGTAAAAGCAAAACTAAGCCATTGTTCTAGGCACAGGAACTGGGACCAAAAGGCCCAGAGAGAGAGAGAATTGTAGAGTACAATAGGCATACAACCAAATTAGAGAGATAAGATGCATTTCAGTAGTTGGAAATCCCTAAGAACAAAGACGCTTTCAAGGGTGCCTGCTATCATGACTTAAGTCATGGAAACATAACTTTTGTTTACATAAAAGGGAGTGACGAGGCATGTAAGAATAATATTTGTTTAAGTATTCCAATGCTCAAAAGGTCTTTAGAAGACACTCTAAGAATAATTCCAATGCTCAAGCACTGATTTGGCACTTGGCTAATGATGGAAAACTTAGTTGGAACTTGAGTAATTGATAACGGTATTTTAGTAATTTCAGATGTGCTAGAAAATCTGGAAATTACAATATTTGTTTAAGTATTTCATTAGTCCTGAAGTTCTTAGGTTTTCCTACTATAAAATAAGAATAGTTATAGGTTTTCCTACTCTAAATGAGAATAGTTATGTTGGAGGTTCAGGAATCCTTGTCCTAGTAGGATTTGGACTACTACAACTCTATAAATACAGCATGCAGTCATTCAATATTTTGAATGCAATAATATAAATTAACTTCCAGAAATTTGCTTTTGATTGTGTGACTCATCCCACTCTTAGGTGTGACTCTTAAGAAACCTAGGTGTGACTCCTAGAAAATCTACCCACATACTACCTCATATTCCAGCAGAAACCTAATTCAATACAACCATAAACATCCCTAAACAGCCTCCAAAAATCAGATCCAGAACAGTCCCTGAGCTAGCCTGCATCAGGGAGTGTAGTTGCCAATTTGTAAGTTCTGTATGGTAAGCTCTATAATCTTCTTACTCAATTTTGTAGTTTTACTTAAGATTATGTAGCAAAGTCACCATAATTGCAGTTCATAAATGATCATGTGATTCACTGTTTTTCAAGCATATTCTTGATGAAGGACTTATAAGCTCTGCGGCAAAACCAATCATGTTGACAGTAAAGATAAGAATGGATGAGCTTTGACTTTTGACTGTACACAAACAACACAGAAAACAGAAGGGCCTGGAAGCATCAGTCAGATCCCAAGAATTTCTACTTTATCCCACTATAGAACAAGTATATAGGCAACTGATTTCATTCTTACTAACACTCAAAGGAAAATTAACAAATAATGATTTCTATTTCGGCCAAACCAACTACAAATTTGAAAAGTTAATAACGTTAAATCACAATGGTGAGAGGAGTGGGGGATCTTAATCTCATGGGTGTGGAACTACGATATTGCAAATGTTGCTCAAAGAAGGAAGAAAGAAATGTGGAGCATAGGGTTAACAAAACAGATTCAGAGATAGATAAGCACTACCTGATCCAGGAGTTGTTGAGACATACGTGCTGACCTCGCAGAAGTTGCAGCAACATCGATACATAAAAGAATCTGGAAGCACACAGAAATATCCCAGCCTTAAATAGCCCTCTTACTTGAATTGAGAAACAGGGCAATTGGAAGTACTTACTGCAGCCAGAGAACCCAACTGGGAACGTAAAGAAGAAAAATCTAGGTCTTGCACTGCTGAAGTCCCATCCACAGCACGAGACATTGCATCTTCTACCTGGTAAAAAGAAATGACACATTAATTTTGTTGAGACTAACTGTAGTGTGGAAGTTAGAAAATTTCTGATAACCTGAAATTTGAATGTAAAGTTCCTTGTCAACAGAAATAGCTAGGTTGAATACTTAATCATATTGAACAACAGGTAAATGGGAAAAATTCAATGTTCACAGTTACTATAATCATTTATTAAAACATTAAAACATAAAAGCAAAAGGTAATAGACAGACCAATCTGGATTCAGATGCTCTTCTAACGGCACCGTCAACCCATTCAGCCAATTCAAGGGTAGCTCTATCTTCTGCTGATAAAGAAAATCGATGAACTGCCTCTTCTCCGATGTCATACTTCGCTCTTTGCATGCAACTGCAGTATAAAATGCCGTCAATGACAATATACTCGCATCAATTCAAATGGAAGGAATAAAGGTTCCTGAAACAGCAATAAATGGTATATGCCCGGTCATTGTTGATATAATATACATAATCTCTTCATTGCAAATAATATACTATTACATGGGGTCTAATTAAGGCAGCGATAACTTGGTCCAGCCCTTGCCAGTAACCAAATATGAGTTCTCTGGCAAGAAGGTAGGCGCAAAAAATAAATTATTCCCCTGCCATAGTGCAATAAGTCATCATACTTCAACATTGTTCACCAAACAAGTTGCGGATAAACCACAAGAGCAAACTAGTTGATATTTGCCTGACTTTTGAATGAATTTTCAGAAAAACCATATATCAAAACTTACAGGTTAAGCAGCTTGGATGGGGCTGCACGTAAGACAGTCAATGCCTCCTTCCATCCCCACTGGCGCTCAGATAATGGTAGAAGACGTTGCAAAATTGACAACCGCCACTGCCAATCCTCAATGAAATGTCTAGCTATTGATAATCTCCACTCTAAGGCCTGTCTTCCATCTTTACTCATACCATCATTAGATGTATACTCTTCAGTCAAGCCTGGTGGAAGATTGCGATGTAGAACATCAAGTAGCAATCCTGTGAAAGAAATAACCAGTTTGTTCCCTCCTTCACATGTATTGACATCAGTATGGTCCCAAGCACATGTAGAGGATGATTCAGAATTGCTCCCTGGTGAGGCACAATGCGTCAAATTGAGAGAGATATCATCCATATGTAAAAGCGAAATTATAACATTCACCATCAATATCTGCATCATTGAATAAAATTAATATTATGTAAAAAAGTTACAAAATAAACAGTACGAAGGAAACAACTACATTTAGACATTTGACACCACTACCTACTAAGTACATGATTGGAGAAATAGTTACCAAGGCAAACATAAAGGAGTGACACATAATAAGTTCTGTTTAACTGCTGCTGATTTTCTAGAAAAACACTCTGATCAATCCATATTCCAAACAAAATTGCAGATAATAATCTCAGATTTTCTGTTACATCAAAAACCATGTTTTAAAAACAACTCACAAGGGTTTTAGCCCAGGAAAGCTATTGTGTATGCATGGTGCTATGTGACACCAAACTTGTCATGCAAGTGGAAACAAAGACTCCCTTGGAATGAAGAGTGTCCCAACAACCCTCCACCCCTGAAATGGTAAAAGGAAAAAGAAAAATGCAAACTGCATGCAGATAACCTTGCGTGGAATATTGGTAATAGCCTCCAAGTGGTTCCTTAAGTCTTTCAAATGGCACAGAGCCACTTGATCATGACTCTGTTTTTCATCAATTGTACACCTTTCCATCACTCCCAGTGCAAGAACAGTTGATTCCAGAGCATAACGCATGTGCATTAGTTCAATATCTTGCATCCTATCAAGCACAACACAAAAAAAACAGAAAGAAATAGCATATTGCAAATAAGAAAGCCTAATCTGACAAGAAGAAAATGCTAGTACAATGGAGTAATCTTAAGAAGGGCTTGGGAACACATCACATGCAGTCCTGGGCCTTCCAAGTGCCCACATAGAAAATAATTACTATATGTAACAGTAAGGTCCTTGAGTTTGAAGCTAAATCTAATGACCATCATAGTCAACTATCATAATTCACAATGACCAATGACCGTAAAGAAATCAAACCAGCCTATCAAAGAGTAGCATCATTATTTTAAAAGAGTTATAAAGGTCCAGCTAAAGTACCAAGAGTTCCTACAGCATATAGCACAAGTCAAAGGGTTCTGTCTGATAGACAGGGCGAGGGAACACTCAACTCTAGAACCACCAATCAAATAGCAAACTCTAAGCATACAAAAGCCTAGCAAGTCAACTAAAATGCCACCTATAGAGAAATCGACCATCCACACCACACTCCTCAGCATAGCAGATACGTTTCTAGACGTTTCCATACTTGCTTAACATAAAGTTGGAAAGTTACAGAATAAATTGAGTTACACACCTTTTCCAGGCTGCTACATCAGAACAAATTGGCTGCATGCTAATTAATTCAATAGCATCCTGAAACTTTATGACTGGAACAACATCAAACAACACCTGCAAAAAGGCTTTCTTGTTATACTTCAATACCCAACAAAGATGAAAAAGAAAAGATCTTTACATTTATACATGAAATTCTACTTGAACGTCATTGACAGACAAATTTTCTTTCTACCTTCACAATAATCACTCAAAAGAAAAGAAGGCAACAAGCACAAGTTCGATTTTTGTTAAGATGCCTAAAATAGAACATTTCAACAAAGCATGTATAAAACGAGAAAACTATTTATATAACTAACAAAACAGGTAAAAACGAACATGATTCTGTGAATGCAGACTCCATCCTGAAAGATGATACTATGACACCATCCAATGTTGAAGCAGTTACCATAAACTCATCTTCCTTTAGCACAAATTCCAGCATGAAAAATTGATAGTTATATTGAAAAATTCTATAACCAAGCATATCCATGAATTTTGCAATGGATACCTTGTGTGAACACAACCATATACATGAAAGAGACTTACACAAAGAGGGCTTTGAACAGAAAGTCTTTCCAGCACAAAGTTTTCAACAAAACGTTCTGAATGAGTATCTTCGCTTGCAGAAATTATTTGTTGGTTTCCAGAAAACAACAGTGATGATTTCGAACTCCATAATTGACCAGAATTGACACAAGCAACAAAAGAGGCAAGGTCAAGCCGATAACATAATGAATCGCACAGATGCTCCACGCAAGACATCTGTCACAACCATGAAAACAAAGGGGAGGGACTTCCATATTCAACTCTTCCTTTGGACAAACAAAAGCATTATGTAAAAGATTTGGAAAAAAAAAATCAATAAATAAACAAAAGAAGAAATTACCTCTTCCAGTTGATTACCATATGCTGAAGATTCTTCCAGTCGAAGTATTTGTGACTTACTACTTGTCCAGAGAAGTTGCATTAGTTTCCTCCGAGCTGTTGTTTTACCTGACAACAGATCCCAACCCATCACAGCTACTAGGGGCCTAAGCCGTGGAAATAGTGTGAGAACCTGGAATATGAAAGAAAAAGTGAGATCTGCTAACAACATTGTCAATTTGTGTAATAATGAAATGTCACTTTCAATTTTTGCAATAACAAAATGTCATTTCAAACTCTTATGTTTAATTTAGATGCAAAAGCGAAAACATACGTTGCTAGCCTCTTGAAGCTGCTCCCTCTTGACAGCAGAGAGAGCTGTATCCATTAAGCATTCAAGTACATGTAATTTTGAAACACGAGCATAGTGGTACATCTCTCCCATGCAAATACTGACAGCCCTACTCAACGAAAAAGATGAGTCATTTAAATCTGCATCCTGTTTGATTTCCGTAAGATACCTATGAAAGCGCTCTAAAGGGGGTGGAATCTGTTTGTCAGCATGTGCTCGAGACATCTCAATCTCTTGACAGAGCAAGTCATCCTGGATAACCTGCACAAAACCACCTTGGACAATCAACATACATGATCACAGACCATTCCATAATAATATTAGATAAGTTCAAATTTCATGAAATCAAACAACATATTCCCTTACAAGGACAGTAGATGATGATCCTTAATCTTCTCCATTGAAAAAATTAGGGCATGTAATGGCTAAGCAAAATTAGGTACGTCCTTTACAGCTTCCATTGGTGTAATTAATAGCATTAGAACCAAACTAACAAAGGAACCTTTCAGGACTTTATTTTGTCATATGGAATCCCACACAAAAACTTGTTCTAAGTTTGGACTTCTGAAAAGAAATGTTTAGTGAAAAGTGGAACCTCCAAAGTTTTTTCAAGACAGCCAATATTATAAATTAAATTCAAATCATTAACCAGATTTTATGCCTTTCCCTGCAGAGCACCAAAAACTGAGCAATCCCAAAATCATTAAACAAAACTGTTGTGAGCAATACCTGAATCATTTCAACAAGACGTCTACAATTCGATGAAAGAGCCTCTTCATAGATCCGAAGCAATTTTTCTTGCATGACATGCCATGAGGCTCCATACCCTTCCCTTGTTGACAAAACCCTCACTAGGAGATCTTGCAGAACAATGCTATAAAGAAACAACAAAAGGAATGCAATAAATATTTAGAAGAGAAAATGCAGACAGCATATAACAACCTTTTATTTGATTCCCTCAAACTCAAAACACTAAAGAAGGATAGTAGAAATTTCTAGTAGCAATAATTTGTCAGAAAAAGTTTGTGCAAGAATTTGGCTGCGTGAAGCCAAAATCCATCGGAAAAAAAAAATGGCAGCAGTCGCAGCAAGACAAGTTCATTGCTGTCCTTAAAGAAATGACGGGTAATTGTGCAGGCATAAAAGAGAGGGCAATCATGTGAGCACTGGCAGAGACTGAGCACAGGCAGGGTGGCCCCAACTCAAAACATAAATCAGAGACCCTCAATATAATGTCAAATACCTCCCTCTCCCTCATCCCCAAAATTTAATCACAGACATCTTCCCTTTCTTGGGCACTACTTCAAAAACAAAACCTCCACAGCTGCCGATGGGAAAATATTCAGTGCAGGAAGACCTTAAGCTAAATATTCTCCTCTTCTAATAAAAGTTGCTTCTTTAAAAAAGAACTAAAGAAGAAGAAGACCTTAGGCTAAAATTTAAAATTTAGAAAGAACTTCAAGAAGCAAAGAAAAAACAATCACAAATAAAGCAATTTTCAATAGCTCTGACTTTAGCTTCACATAGATATTTCCTCCCTGCAATGCCTTGGTATTAAACTCAAATGGGACAAACCACACAAAACAAGGAGGGAATGCTCTCCGAGCCATCTCAAGTAGATAGCCCCATGACTACTAAAAGCATGCAACTTTTGCACTAGCAACATACATAGATCTTTATATAAAAAAGGTAGCTGATATAACCCATGTTGGTTTTCTGCTATATGAACATCCTCCGTGCTATTGTTTCAGTAACTATATGTTCCTCTCACTGAAATGGAAAAATAATTTCAACTCATGCAAATAAATACTAAAAACATGTAAGACCCCAATTTGGAAGGAAACTGTTAAAACCATGCACAAGGAACCCTGGAGAATAATTTTGAAGTTCCTTTGAACCAGCTATTCCAAAAACACAACAATGTTAATAACAGCTTTAGGAATTAAACAGCTTATTCCAAAAGCTAACACTAATCAGTCAAAATAAGAAAATCAAACAACATTCACCTATCACTGCCACAACATTTCATTTCAAATAACCAGAAATCACAATGCACGTACCGATACTCACTCTCCTCCAAGCCACAATCTAGATGAAGAAACTGGATATGTGAAAATACTCCTTCCTCACCTCCCTCTTTCAAACACTCCTTCATTGCATCCAAATGCACTAACTGCACACACTTTTTAATCAAACCAAACACCTCGACACACCCCTCCTCCTCCTCCTTTTCCTCCACTCTCTCACGCTCTTCCCCCTCAACGTTATCTCCAAACCCGAATTCTCATTCTCAACCTCCATTCCCTTCATTTGCCTCTCTACATTCGAACACAACGCATCAAAAACATTAGCGTTATCCAAAATCACCTTCCTCAAACTCATCATTTCCGCTTCGTCAATTTCCACAACACCGCCCAAACCAGAACGCTCTCCACTCTCTCTCCCTTCCACTTCATTCCCATCCAAATCCACATCTCCCTTCAATCTCTTCACACCAAACTCCAAAACCTTATCCAAAACCCCTAATTCACCACTCTCATCCTTCAAACCTTCAAAATTACCCAAATACCCCTCCTCCACCACCTCCTCTTCTTCCTTTCTTCCTCCAGAACTCTCCTCCACACCACTCTCCTCCTCCTCCTCTTTCTCAAACTTATCAAGATCGACATTCTTTCGCAAACTCTCCGTCGCGCGATCAATCAAAAGTTGAATCAACAACAAAAACTCTACACGCAACCGAAGCATAACGGAATCGAAACGCCATGTATGCGAAGTTGGATTGTTAAATTGTAAGAGTTCTAGGGTTGATAAAAATGTGAGAAGTGATGGATTTGGGCAAGATTGGGACCAGAGAAGGTTATCGAATCGGCCGGAGTTGGATACTATGGTTTGGAGGACTGCGAGAGCGAGGTCAGGGTTTTTGGTGCGGAGAGATGTGAGGATGGCTCGTAATGGCTCGAATTGAGCTAAGTGGAGATGGTTCGCTGCTAGGCGAGAAAGGAGTTCGGTTTCTTTGTCCATTTCGACGGAGGTGATTGTTGTTTTGGTTGGCTATGGATTTTTATTGTTCATTTTCTTTTTCTTGGGTCTTTGAGTTGGGGAATTAGGGGCGTTGCCGATGGAAATTTGAATTGTTATTATTTTCTTCAAGCGTGAGGTGTTTTTAAGTTTCTGGGATTAGCATGGGTGCGACGGAGTACGGACACAGAGCGGAACAACGGGGATAACGGAAATAAAAAGAAAGGATTAAGGTCAAATAAGTCCCCCGACAAGTGAAAAGATTTACGGAAAAAATATTTGTGCTCCGGTCGCTATAAAAATAATTTGTGGGTTCCATAGATTACGCATAATTCCGAGTAACTGAATAATTTCCCTGGATTCTTGATTTTGTAGGAGGTATTAAAACTAGTTTTTTTTCTTCACGTTATCTTACGAATTTGATAAAATATGTAAAATTATTTTAATTTAATAACCTATTTTATGATGTAAATTTATAAAAATATTTAAAATCAAAGGCTAAAAAAGAATTTATAATTTTTTAATCAAAAATTTTATATTTAATCATTTCTTATTTGTGTTTGTTATAATTTTTTCTTTATAAAAATGATTTATCCTTGTTAATCCATGGATTATTAACTAAAAAAAAATTAAATAATTTTAAAAAAAAACTTTAACATTTCATAAGATTCTATCAAAAAATAAAAATAACAATTATTAAAAGCTTATAAAGAATTGAACAAATAAAAATTTTTATTTATTGTTAATGAGAATTTCGATTTTTGAAAAAAATATGGATTTAATTTTTATATATTAATTTACAAAAAAAGAATAATATTAAAATAAAAAACTATATTAATTTGAATCATTGAGTAGTTAAACCAAAACATAATTTTAATTATTTAATTTAAAATAAGTTAATTTTAAAATATTTAAAAATAAATAAATAAATAAATAGTAAATGCTTAGTGTAGTAGTTGCATAGTCAATTTCTAAAAAAACAACGATTCGATATTTTATAATAGGTGAGTTCAAAGTTTTCAATCTAAAACAAAAAATATTAAAAAAAAATTTAACTTGCAAGGAATTTATTGACCAAATTTGAAGTTAATAGACTATAATAAAAATTATTAAAAATTTGATTTCAATTAATTTTGATTATATAAAGAAGAAGCAAATTAATAAACATGTGAATTCTTTTTCTTTTTTTTCCTCCTTATTAAATGATTTTTTATTTCTAAGTTATGCATGGTTAGTCATTGAATACGAGGCCTCGAGCGCAGAGCAACCATCTTTTTTTTCTTTTTCACATTTGACTTTCAACTAATAATTAACTAATTTGATTTTTTTCTAAAAAACATGAAAAAAAATTATTTTCAATACAATTTTAATCTAAAAATGTATTTCAAACAAATTATATATATATTATTCATGCCACTATAATTTAAAAATTATCTAAATCTATTTTTCAAAAGAAAAAATAATCATGTTCTAAAACATTATTGTGAAATCCATACATATAGAAAAATAAATCAAAATTATCAATAAATATAATTTTAAATTAATTGGATGAAAATTTTTTTAAAAATGACAAATTAAAGTAGTAAATTTTAAATAATAAAAATAATTAACAAAAAAACACTAAAACAAAATGGGACCAAATCACAATACAATTAAAATTTGAAATTGAAAAAAATATATAGAAAAATTGAGGACCATAAATTTTAAATTAATTGGATGAGAATTTACAAAAAATGACAAATTAAATGAGTAAATTTTAAATAATAAAAATAATTGACAAAAAAACACTAAAATAAAATAGGATCGAATCACAATACAATTAAAATTTAAAATTGAAAAAAATATATAGAAAAATTGAGGACCATAAATTTTAAATTAATTGGATGAGAATTTACAAAAAATGACAAATTAAACTAGTAAATTTTAAATAATAAAAATAATTGACAAAAAAAACACTAAAATAAAATACGAACCGAATCATAATACAATTAAAGTTTGAAATTAAAAAAAGTACAAAAAAATTGAGGACTAAAAATGTATTTCAGACAAATTATATATATTAATCATGCCACTATAATTTAAAAATTATCTAAATTTATTTTTCAAAAGAAAAAATAATCATGTTCTAAAAATTTATTCCAAAATCCATACATATAGAAAAATAAATCAAAACTATTAGTAAATAAAATTTTAAATTAATTGAATGAGAATTAAAAAAAAAAAGACAAATTGAAGTAGTAAATTTTAAATAATAAAAATAATTAATAAAAAAACACTAAAACAAAATGGGATCAAATCATAATACAATTAAAATTTGAAATTGAAAAAAAAATGCATAGAAAAATTGAGGAGCATATAATCTTAAATTAATTGGATGAGAATTTAAAAAAAAATGACAAATTAAAGTAGTAAATTTTAAATAATAAAAATAATTAACAAAAAACACTAAAATAAAATGGGACCAAAGCACAATATAATTAAAGTTTGAAATTGAAAAAACAAAAGAATTAAAAAAATGACGAATTAAAGTAGTAAATCTTAAATAATAAAAATAATTAACAAAAAATACTAAAATAAAATTGGACCAAATCACAATATAATTAAAGTTTAAATTGAAAAAAATATAAAAAATTTGAGGACCAAAGTGTTATAAAAATGTCATAAATAGTGAAAAGAATAGCAATTTATGAGAGTGTGAATAGTATTTTCAATAGTGAATGAATAGCAAAACCAATGATTTTACTTTAGTTTTATGTATAATGTAGAATATGTGTGAATATTTTTTTTCACAATTTTATTCCGAATTATTGAGATTACGGCATAATGAGACATGTATTAATAAATACGACCAAGTTCTTAAGCTGTTAATTTTTTAAACAAATATTTTCCTTCAACCTCAATTTAATTTGAATGTTCAACAAATTTTGATTACTAACCAAAACATCATAAAATGATATTTCTTTTTTTTATGTGAAATATACTATTAAAAACTCACTATAATTCCAAAGATAATTTCAAAAATTTTCGAGGTTGGCAAGTTTTTTAATGTTAAAAATTAAGAAAATCGTGAAAAATAGATAATAAATTAAAATGCTCCAAAATTTCATACGGTCCTCGAAATATTATATTTATCTTGACGGTTTTTGTATGGTTCTCCAAATGTTTTCTTAATCAAATGAATGATGGCGTGACACTTGGTGATTATATAAAAATAAAAAATTTAAAAAAAAAAGCATTTCGAGGGAAGTTTCTCTCGACTTATTGAATTTTTTAATATCTTTTAAATTTTTATTGAAAAAAGTTAAAAAAAAATCTCTAAAGTATTTTTCCTTATCGTTAGTGTCACGTCATCCTTTAGTATCCATACTATGCATGCCCTCTCATCAAAATTTTGAAATCATACATGTCACTTCTTCAAATTCCACTTAATGATTACAATTCAAAAAGTTTAATTAAACACTCATTTGAAAAAAAAATGAGTGTTGACACCTTCAACTATACAAAATCACCAAGACAAACGAGTTATTATGCTATTAACTCATTTTTAAATCCTAAAAGCCAAAACTATTTTTTCTTTAACATTGTTAGTTTACTATCATCAACTAGATTAAGTTTTCAATACTTAGATAAAAATATTAGCATGTTAATGGATGACGATATACATATATCACTAGACATGTATAATCTTTTTATCGAATAACATAACAAATTGATATAACATTTAAAGATAATTGTACAATGTTATGCTAATGATGTCAACATTGTCCTCGTTGTCACAAGATTGTGAGCTCTGTTGTGATCGATGGTAATAATGCATCGAAATGGACTTTGGGTTCTCGAGGGTCCAAAACCCTTCTTTTTCCTTCTTCGTCTTTTTTTTTTTTTTTTTTTGTCTTTTGCTTTTGTTTAAGAAAATCCTAAAAGAATCTGCACTAACTATTAATATTTTCAAGTGTGGTTGGACAATGCTTTTTAAAAAAGACATTGATACCTAACTAGTTTCATAAAATAAGAGTCCATGATAGTTTTATTGTATACTATGGTGTTGTTTGGTAATCGGGAATAGAGTGGTGAGAATGAGAATGAAAGTTTTATTCTCACATTGTAGTTGTTTGGTTAAAAGGAATGAAGTAGGAATGGGAATGAAGAGTGGGAATGGGATTGCAAATTTACACACAACTTCATTCCCACGTACAATGTGGGAATAAAAAACAAGGAATGGGAATAATTTTTTTTTCAAAATAATAATATATTTTATTTATTTATTATATATTAATTACTTTTGCCATCATCACCATCACCATTACAACACCCACGACCACTACCACTAGGGGTGAGCATTCGGTTAAACGATTTGGTTTTTTGTTAACCGAATTAAAAAAATAAAAACCAAAATCGAATCGAAATAAATTCGATAAATTCAGTTTGTAACCAAATTATTTCGGTTTGATTTCGAAATATTTCGGTTTTAACCAAAATATTTTCTTTGTAAAAAAAAAATCGTTACGAGAGATATGTTTTGTACTAGAACTTAGTCCACTAGTCAATGAAGTAACATCTTGTTATCAATTAATCCTTTTTACAAACAATCACAAAGCCCTCGAAGATTTTAACTAAGTTTTAATGAAAATGAGTCCAAATGTAATAAATTTGTTTATTCAAACACACTCGTATCCCAATTAATTACACTCTGTCGCTTTCTTTTCTTACCCCAATGGTCCTCAAAATTTATTTCCCATCTGCGTGTTTCGGTTTCAACAAGAATGAAGATTGAAAAGTTAGGGATTTAGAAATTATGAAATTTTTTACTTTTTATTTCGGTTTTCGATCGAAACTGAAATTTTTTTCTAAAAACCGAACCGAACCGAAATAATTTCGATTTTTTCAGTTTGGTTTTATATTGTATAATTTTATATTTAAAACCGAACCAAATTTCATAATTCGGTTCGGTTTTATTCGATTTTTGGTTAACCGAATCGTTTGCTCACCCCTAACTACCACCA